CACCACCGGGGCAGAGCCCTGTTCAGAGCAGTGGTCTCCAAAGGGGGCGTCGGCATTTGGGAGCAGCCACCATCGGCCATGTCCTGGTTGGAAGAGGCCAACTTCCAAATGCTGCGCGATCACCAGTGTGCCCTGGTGTGGGTAGACGCCTGCATGCGCGACAAAGCATTCGCTAAGTCATGGGCATTCGGCAGCAACAGTTCGAAGGTACAGGCCCTGCAGGCCCGCTGCAATCACCCCCACAAGCATCAGAGTATTGCAGGAGTGAAGGAACAAGGGGTATACCTCAGCACACTGACCGCTGAATACCCCCCTTCCCTGGCCCTGCAATTGCCAAATAGGCATAGGAAGGGTAAGTAAAACAGGCTCATTCCGGCTAGCGCTGCCGCTGCACTCTAACTGCCCTAGAACCGTCACCTTGGCGCCTTGCAGGCTCCCCACCTGTAATGGCGCGGGAATGCACTCCTCAGCGGATTGGTGTCTCCCCAAGCCCGAGCACCCTTTGCAGACAGTCGCCAGGCCCTGGCTGCACTGGATGCATGAGCGCAAACTCGTGCCACGTATCCTGGCACACGTGAACAGCGGTTCCTCGGAGCTCTCGCCCTCCGAAAGCCTGGAAGCGGCAACTCTAGCGTATACCGCTTTAAAACTGCCCTGCCCTTCAGATATGAGCCCCGAAGCAGGACAACCATACCGACTCCACCTGTTGCATGCCCTGGCCAAATCTTGGGGTGACCCCGACATGGCCCTCCTTCCATTTTTGCAGCACGGAGTGCCAACAGGAGCCGTATCAGCCTTGCCTCCAAGCCTTCAGTGGCCAGCAAAGAAGCCAGACTCCATGCCGCAGCCGGATCTGGAAATTTGTGAAGGCAACTGGAAGATGGCCGAAGACGAGCCAGAAACCGTGCAAGGTTTGCTGCGCAAGGAAATTGCTAACAACTGGATTGTTGAAACCAGCCTTAGCATAGCCGACGCTCGGGAAAATGGCCCTTAGGTATTGCCGTGGGCAAGCTTAATGTCGTGTTCGCCGAAGGCAAAGAACCTCGCCTTGTCTTGGATAGCACTGTGTGCCAGGTCAATACCAGATGCCATTTGCCAGAGCGCCTTAGCTTGCCCATGGCCTCTGACTTGGCGCTGTCCACGCAGCCAGAGGACACTCCAGGTGCCTTCATCGGCGCCAGCATTGACTTCAAAGCCGCACACAAACAAGTGCAGGTCCGCCCAGAGGAACATGGCCTTCTTCTCTTCGCCTTTCAAGGGAAGCTATACCATTACAGGGTATGCCATTTTGGGGGCCGTTTCTCGGCCTTCTGGTGGCAGCGCACCGGCGCTTTCTTGCTTCGTCAAGTGCATGGGTTGCTAGCCTGGAAGCCGCACAAAGCCTTTCTCTTCGTGGACGACCTGCTCTGTGCACTCGTCCGGGATAGCGCACCAGACATGTTTGCCTTGGTGGTGCTCTTCTTTTGTGCCATTGCAGCACCCATTTCGTGGAAAAAGGTGCAATTCCAGGATAGCCTGGTTTGGTGCGGTTGGGAGATCCACTTCTCTCACGACACCATCCAGCTCATGTCCTCAAAACTGGCCAAGCTGGACGCCTTAATCAAATCCCTGCTGGGAAGCCGACGTGTGCCTCACAAGACACTCGAGCAGTGCATAGGCTTGCTGATTTGGGCCACCAGCATTGCCCTGCACCTTAGGTCCTGGCTGGCACCGCTTTACGCGGACCTCAACAGCCCACCAGGCTCCATGCACTCAATACCACTGCAAATGTGGTCGGCCTTTCGAGCATCCTTGTCAAGGGACCTCAAAACTGGTCACAGCCTGCCAGGATTGTGGATCACAGCGGGCTCCAAAATCTTGGAAATTTCAGGCCGCACCTTGCATTGCCTTGAAGACATTCCGCGAGTGCCTGGCACCAGCAAGCCCACATGGGTGCGCATCGCGGACCCCAATAACCCATACACCAGCCTTTCCAAGTCGAGTCAACAGTGCCTTACTTGGCTGGCGTCGTGCTTTCGACACTCACCCATTCAGCCGTTGGCGCGGCCACGCCAGCTGCAGGCTCTGGCTGCCGCCGACGCGTGTGCTGAAGATGAAATGGTGGGGATTGGGGGCTGGGCAATCACATCCTCCCAAGTGGTGTGGTTCGCCGAGACCTGGAACATGCAAGACATAAGAGCCGTGTGGCCTTGCCTTGTCAAGCCAGCACAGCGGTGTATCGCATGCTTTGAAACACTTGCACAGTTAGCACTGCTGCAAGCAACCCACAGCCACATTGGTGGTGGGCACTACTCGTTTAGCATGCCGTCCGGCACGGACAATTCCGCCACAGAAGCAAGCCTTAACAAATTGTTCACGACCTCATCCGTTGCAACTTTTTGTGCAGTTAACAGCCTTCTGGGCTCACGCTCACAACGTGCGGCTGCAGCCAACGCACGTTCCAGGAAGGTGCAATGATTGGGCAGACGATCTCAGCAGAGGTCGGTTGGCCCGATTCAGCCATCGCCCTGAAAGTCGCATGCGCTTCAGCCCTGCTAGCCTGGCGATGTCAGGCCGAGGCATTCAACTGTGTCCGATGCATGCGCCCTGGCGTCCGGAACATCGTCGCAAAGCCAGCCTAGCCTGCATTCGACTTGGCCTTCTGAACCCTTTTCCGCCGTTGCCTTGTCAGCCAGAACAACTGGCCATGTCAGCCAGCCGCTTGCACAAGCCGCTCTGACCAGAAAAAAGTGCAGTCACCGCATGCCGAGCTGTTCACAACACAGCGTGCATGGTGACCCTAGCATCTGCCCTGCCAGGTACAACCCCACTCTGAAGGGCGGGTGATGAGGCCTCCGGCTCCAGGGTTCGCACTAGTGCCCTGGAAGCAGTGCAACTTTCAGCAATCCCGGTGAAAAGAACTGCGGCCGCTTCGGACGAGCTTTGTTCTTTCGAGGTTTCATGTTTGGGTTCAAGCTAGGAGCAGTGCGACATGCCTTAACGCTTAGGGTTTCTTTTCCCTTGTGTTTAGGGCATGTGGTGAATCGAACTATGCGTTGGCCGTTTTGCTCCTAGCCTTGACCCAAACCTGCGGTTTCATTCCACCCACCCTGCATTGCCCTATGCCAGGCTTTGCCAGGATAGACGGCAGTTTCTCTGCACTTTCGTGGGTCGCCTCCGGGCACCGTGGTCTCCGGACTAGGTCTCCGGACCAACATCGGTCTCCGGACCTCGAGTCTCCGGACTGTCGGTCTCCGGACCTTGGGGCGTGGGCACGCGTGCCGCGCCCCCCCAAGCGCTGGACACGCATTGTCTTGCCTTTTCACATTTCGGGGGGTCAATGTGCCTCCTGCTCCAGGCGCACTAGTGCCCTGGAAGCAGTGCAACTTTCAGCAATCCCGGTGAAAAGAACTGCGGCCGCTTCGGACGAGCTTTGTTCTTTCGAGGTTTCATGTTTGGGTTCAAGCTAGGAGCAGTGCGACATGCCTTAACACTGGAGTTTATGTGGTCGAAACAGATCCGAATGAGAAGTCGTGAGAACAATGTGACAGAGTGTCACATCCTTTTTTGCTGTGAAGCGGTTCAACACCTGAAAGCAGGTTGAGTGTGAATTCTCCCTGTAAATTGTATAGTTTGAAGCCAGGGTGTTGAACATGTTGTACATGACCGGGCCATTTTGGTACGAGGGCCCTTGAGTCATAGCGCTCGAAGCGAAAAGTGAGAGCCCGATTTGCTTGCTACATTCACAGCTGCTTTTCCTTTGACATGTTCCTTGATGGCTTGAAGCAGTGAACAGGTTTCTATCTACCACGATAAGCGCAGGCTGTCAGTTGCTGCAAGTGCAAGAGCCGTAGTGTTGTTATCACAAACGGACAAACCTGTAGTCCGCTTCTCACCTGTTTTCTTATGGCCTCGAAGTAATGCTCAAGACCTGCGGTAACGTACAAGATGCACAGCTGACAAAAAGTGCAACATGTACTTTGACATGTCCCTCTTTTTTTTCTTCTTTTTTTCTTTTCTCTCTTTGTAGATTAGTTGATTCGTAATATCAGGCTGCGCATCAACGGGTGAATGCCGAGCGGTTGCCGGGAAGGAAACTGTTTTTTGAGAACTAACTCTGCGTGGTTTGTGCCCTATGACCTTCATCGCGCACTGAGGCCGTGCAGGATTCTTCCGCCCACTGTTGTGCGTGACTTGGGACAAAGAAACAAAACTCACAAAATTTCAACGAACCCTTTTGCCAGCACAATGCCAGCAATCAGTCATCCAGCCGCAGTGTTTGTCCCAGCTTGGGAAGGGATAACGAACTGAAGACGCGCGGCAACAAGATTATTTGTGTTTGTCTTCGTGGGGGCCTAATGTGGCCCCCGTACTTGGGGAACGATTGTCCTTTTTCGCCCCCCTCGGTGGTTGCATGCGTCGGGCGATGCAAGATTCATTGACAACGCTTTGAAGAACTGATGCGTGTTGATTCACCAACAGAAAAGGGAACGCCGTCCAAACTTCAGGCAAATCAAGTGCTTATGCTATGTCCTCAAAAAGATACGCTTCGTTCCGCGCTGGGCAAGGACGGGTTTTGGTCTGAATGGCTTTCCCAACTGAAAGATATTGTGTGCTCGAGCCGGATAGGCGTTCTTTTGGGCTTATTGAATCTCTGCATTCTGTGAATTTCTCGATTTATTGTTGGTTTGTTACCTTATTGGCATCTTTTTCCCAAGTATGCGTGTCAATCTTTTGGCTTGCAGTTGGAGTTTTAGCCGTGCACAGAACAAGGGCTGAATGCTTCCTGAACGGGGCAGCTGATACAATTGATGCTTGAAGCATTTGTTTGGCCCAAGCCAAACAAACTGGAATCAGCCAGCCTTGTTTGCAAAGGTGCAAAGGTTGTCTATTTCTGCATCCAGCGGTGCTACCATTTCAGCTTCTGAATTTTGGGAACCGCTTAACATTTTGCGTTTTCAGTTCTGTTTTGAGACTTTGGTTCAATGTCGCGATTTCAATTTGAGCAAGTATGTTGGGAGGTTTTGAAACCACTTCGCCCAACTGGTGTGCCATGGCGACCATGTGTTTGAGTTGATCGGGCCATTGCGCCCGCCAGTGGCAACCTGAGGCAGTTGTGATGTGAATGTCACTGATGCCCATTGCACGTCTCAGCTTCCTGGCCGGATCCAGGCAGTGTTGGCGGCACTCCTATGGCACCTTGCTGGAATGTTTTTTGCGTTCCGTGCATGAATGCACATCATGTCAGGCGGACACAGTCGCGGTGACAGCAAGCGTGTCGATGTGGGCCCAGGGGTGTGATAGTTGTTCACTCTGCCCTCCTTCTGAAGGTGGTACTTGACTTCATTTGCAACCCTCCTTTTGAACAAGGACCGGGTACCGAATTGGACCGGGTCGGATCGAATCAGACCGGGTGATCGATGTTCTCGCGTGTTTGCCTTGCGTTCAGTACCTGATGGGATATCGACATGTGCAGCCCAACACCTTGGCGGCAGTGCAGATGGTGCGGGCCTGAGCTTGAGACCGGGAGAAAGCGCGAAACTGTGGATGCCCAGGTGTCCACAGCCGTGTATGGAGCTCTGAAAACACTGAAGTTGAGCGACGTCGTACGGCTGGCAAAGGAGGAATCGAGATGTCATGCGCGTTCTTGTGTGAGTGTCATGTGTGTCTCATTTGCAAGGTGTGTGAAGGCTTGCACGTGGCGTGTAGGCCCGAAGCATCATAGGAAAAGATGCAAAGGCACGATAGAGTGCCGCAGTGCTGTGCCGCATGGAAGGGAAACACAGAGAGAGAGAGAGAGAGAGCGGGGGAGAGAGCCGTTTGAGCCGAAGGTGACGGATCCTGAGTCGCCGCCTGTGACTTGCGACCACCTGGACGGCTCTTCCAGCAAGGCGACTCGTGAGCTCTAGAGCTACCTGAGTCTTGCACGCGCGAGGGGAGGCGCTGGCGGCGCAGCCTGCTGCAAATGGGCTTTGTGGGAGTGATGAGGGTGGGGGATGCTTCCTTCGCTTGCCTGACACTCTTTTTTCATATGTTTGGTTTCCTTGATGGTGTTTGATGCCTTAGCCTTTTGGCATTCATGTCAGATCCTTTTGCTTCCACACGTCAGTTCTCCACAGTGGTGCTGGGCCTCGTGAGCCTGGCGCTCAAGGCGATTGATTACAAACTGGTTTTCTTTGCATGTATTTGTATTATGTTCATAATATTCTGTTTATGACTTATGACTGTTTGTTGATGTTTAAGAATTGATGTTTGTGTCTCATTGAGGCCTGGAACATGTAGCAGCATCCTTCACTGAGACCATCAAGGTAGTGTTTTTTGCCCTTGAGTGTGGCACCGTGCGTGACGCCAGGCATCCGCGCCATTCTTTACAGTCATCGTGGCCTATCTGATGCTAGGCCACATGTGCCTGTGCCACTTGCTGTGCGTGTGCGTTGCATGAGGCGAATCGACTCACGTGCTAGTCTGTGTCCCAGATGTGTCTGGGGCGCTTTGACTTGATTTTTTCCAAGGTTTTGGCATCGCTCATTCCCGTCGCTGGCGGTTTGGCCGGGAGAAAGGGAGCATGTCTCAACGACTGATCCGGAGCCAGGTGTTGGTGTCATCCACGGAGCTATCTTTCAACATCGTTCACGACTCAAAGATTTCCGCTCCCATCCGCCTACTCTGTGTCGCTGTGTCGTGGCACGGCGATGAGGTCGGCTTTTCAGCAGCTGTAGCCACCAACGTCATTGAATGCATCCAGAACGTGTTTAGCAAGAGGACGGGCGCATGGCTGGGTAATGCTTCAGCTTTAGCACTTTAATCTTTCCAGATCTTTGCCGATTTCTGACTCCAGCTTCGTGCAGGCTTTTGGGGAGTGAGTACACCGCCTCCCAGCGCGGGCCCACAATTCCTCGTAAGTGCAATCTCTCCGCAAGCTGCTTCACTCTGAGGCTTCAGTTCTACACTTCTCTGACAGCCTTGGTGATGCAGGCAGGAAGTGAAGTGGCGATAGCACCGTGATTTCGTCCGATTTGGGAGCCCTCCAAGACGAAAAGCAACAACATCCGAAAGGAAAACGAGAAAGCCGAGAAGGAAACGAGCCAAAGGAAGAGTAAACGTAAAGACATCTGGTCGGAATTCGCATTCATTTTGTCACTTTCTTCTCCTTTCTTTCCTTCTCTTTCTCTTTCTCTTTCTGTTTTTGGTCTCCTCTCCTTCCCTCCTTCCCTCCTTCTCTCCCTCTCTCTTTCGTTGCGTTCAAGCCGAAATCTCTATCTTTCTCTCTCTCTCCCACTTGGACGACAGAAAGACTCCTGAGAACTCGAACTAGGAAGAAGTCCGAAAGACTCAGAGAGCTCCGGGAAACACGGAAAGTCGGAAACACTCAAACGTCTTACGGTACAGCAAATGCATAATTGAATTATTTGAATTCCATGTGACACGGATGGGATCTGTGTTTCTGAGGCACCTATCTTTTTGCTGACGCGCGCGAAGGAGGCTGTCAGAGAGAAGACACGTCAATGATCCAACTCGCCTTGCCCCTGGAGAGGAGCCGCTGCCAGTCTCCAACATTACGGCTGCCCCAGTCCGAGTCAACAGAAGCCTGAAGTCAACAGAAGGCTTGAAATAGACTTGTCAATTGAGCAAGACACAACTTTGAACGGTTGAACGTGCTTCCGACAAGGTGCAAGTATCAGATGCGGAGACAGGTTCTCAGTGCCCCCTTCGCTATTCCAACTCGGTCCATTGAAGTTTGGGAATGGGCAAGCCGTTGAATTGAGGAGTCCGTTTCTACCGCGCAGCTGCCATGATTGCTACTTGCACGCTTGCGCCATGTTTGCAGAATGTCTCATGCTGCAAAGTTGCAAAGGGAGAGCAATCTTCTGATTTTGCTGTGGATTGATGGCCTTTTGCCTGCTTCTCAGTGACTCAGACTCAGAGACCAGACAGCCGGTGACATGATACTCAGGTATCATGTGCAGTCAGTGGTTGCCTACATTGTAATGCCACTAGCTCAGTCCGTTGCTTGCTTGGCAGTCATCCTGGCACGTGCCCAGGTCATATTTGTCCCCAGTCACTGTGTCGGTATGCCGCCTCATTGTACTGAAATCTACACTTGGTGCGGCTCACCGTTCCAGACTGAGGTTGTCAACACCCTGAAGCGTGCTTTGATCATCGGAATCAGCATTCAGGCTGGGCAAAAGGCGATGTCTTTTCCTTTTTCATCTCTTTCATGTCTTTCATCTCTTTCATCTCCGGATAGGTCTTTGGCAACAGGGTGACCCTCCTGACACAACTCGGCCTGTGCCTTGGCGCGCTCCCGACAAGCATGGAGAGGACAGAACGAAGCATACTTTTTGAAAGGAGCCCGAGTTTCGGAGTTTTGCATGCAACTTGAGTAACTTGAGGCACGGGCATTTGCCTCTTCGGTGTGCTCTGCTACAACTGGGCAAAATCGCACCAGCGCCCTGACGGCCGAGAGCCTAGGTGAGTTGATTCGATGTCGAGAGCCGAGGTCATAGAGAGCATCCGCAGAAAAAGCCTTGCGTTGCATGCGTTGCATGCTGGCGGTGCTATTTAGTAAGGGAAAGCGGGAAAACTTCAGGCGGAAGCCTTGAGATCACGTAGCCATAGATCTGACTGCGCTCAGTGCCAGCAAGTTTCTCAAAAGCTGTGAAGAATACAGGCAGTGCAGTTGAACTAGTTGGTTACGGGCGCATTGGTTGCCTTCAGCTTTCGGCATACCGCGCGCTTGCCCCACGGACATGTCACACCTGGGAGGTTGACTGCGGAATGGCAGCTTGTTGCGTCAACCGGGAGGGGGGGAGGGCGGGTTGCCGCACTTGCAAGACACGCACACACACACACACATACGTGCGGTGGAAACCCGCTTTGCTTTGCGCTTGTGTGTGTGTGCCGAGTCCCAGATCTACCCTGGGACCACCTTTCAGTTCATGCACGGGGTGCAAGCAGATCATCCGGTCTTGCACCAACGAAGACACCGGATGTGTGCTGGTGACTGGTGATATCACTGGGGACGCTCAGTACGTACCTGCCAAAGAGCCACATTGTTGCGCCGTTGCTTTACAAGGAATTCATGGCTGATGATGTGTTGCTTGTCCGAAACCGGGAGTTCTGATCCCACGCATCTCTCGCACCAGCAAGTGTTTGTTTTGTTTGTTGTTTTTTGAGGAATGGCAAGGAGACGCGACCCATTTTGAGGCTACCGGCCACTTGTTGTCGGTTGGTTGAAATAGTGTGCCCCTCTTTTTTTCGAGGATGTTTCTCAAGCCAACTCGAAGTGATGTAGTCGAACGTGTCTCCTTTCCTCTCTTGCATGACGTACACGAATGTACCAAACCACCCCTTGGGTATTGAAGTGTGTATGCGTGTGTGTGTGTTTGCTGTTTTTTAGCCAGTTGACCTCCATCATGTACTCTCACCACATCATGTTGGCTGTTGGCTCAAATCGCCTCCTGTGAGAATCATAGTATTCACGTATTCAGGGGCGTCTGAGCTGGCTTAGATGTGAAGGGCTATCTGATGGCTGGGTCTCATTCACAACAGGAGAGTCAGAATGTTGGGGACGTCTCCTCAAGGGCAACTCGCGACATGTATCGCAAGCGCGCAGCTCAGAGACACAGCGGAAGGAATCGACCACCTCAAGAACACCCTCAGCAGTACTTCCTGAAAAAGCGCTTTTATCTTTGTCGCTCCTCAGTCACTTCAATCGCATAAGGCGCAGCGCCGATCTCTCTCGTTTTTACCCAAATGTGTGATCCTATGCAACTTGTTGAATCGCGAAAGCATTGAGACAGCACGTAGCAGCAATGACGCAGTTGACAAACCAACAGAGAGGCAATGTTTGGTCAGCGCAACTCTTGCGGAGCATCCAGCTTCAGAAGCTTGTCATATGAGGTGCCCTTCACAACAACAAGAACGGCAATCCGAGCATCACTCCGACCAACCAGAGGTGGTCTTTTAAAAGCACGAACAAGGAGAAATCGAAGGAGGAGAATGTGTTTGGGATGAAGACGGAAACAAAGGTTTTGTGGGAGCAGAAGAAGACGAGGAGACACGCGAAGTGTGAAGAACATGCCGCAGTTTTCGCGACTGACTCCAGTGGACACGCCGGAGGTCCGTGTTAGTAGGCGTGCGAAAGCTGCGGACTTGTTCAAACTGAAGACCCGCAAAAGACGCAGGCCTGGGTTCGGACAGGGGGCGGTTTGAGCGCGGAGAGACAGGCGAGCTCATCTGTGCTGATGGCATGCCCACAAATCCGAATTATGGAGCAAGGAGGCCAGAAACTTGAAGCTGGATCTGAGCAAAGGCCTTCTACATGCAGGATGGCAGACGATGAGAACGGCGTCTGTTTCGACCTCTTCGTGCTCGTGAGAAGCTAGATGGAAGCATCATGAGCGCCGCGGGCCACACCAGACACCGCCCACACCAGACGCCGCCCGCACCACCGACACTCCCATGCCGTCCTTGCCACGCCACGCGCGCCACCCCACTGACACCACCCACATCGCAGGTGCTTTGAACCTGAAGGCTAAGGTCTCACTGGTTGAGCATTGATTTTCGAGGCCGCGCTTGTCTGGTAGGTCTGTTGTTCGGTGAGTTACCCGGTTGTTGTTATAACTTGTTTTCCTGCTTACATCAGTCTTTGTGCGTGGGCATGTGGCTCAGTGTGATCAAGCGCAGTGCACGCGGAGAAGATGGCCGCACGGGCTCCAAGCGCTGCTTCTTGAAGGCTCTTTAGAGGGGCTTGTGTTTGCTGGCCTTCAGGCGCACGGGGTTTGGAGCGTCCTGGTGAGCCTAGTCTTTGTTGCCCATGGCCAGGTCAAGGCCACGTTTGCATTCGCTCTGGCCTGGCCACACATGGCGTTGCCTTCCAGGTGATGACACCCCGGGAGCTGGTGGGTGCCTTCGCTGACCATGGCAGGAGAGGGATGAATATGTCATGCTCATGTCGTGCGAGTGCAGTGTGCGCCAGGATCATGGGGTCCACGTCCACCTTCGGAGCTCCATTTTACAGGGATCGGGTGTTGGGCCAGCTGGCGCGGAGCTTTGAAACGGATGGTTGGGACCCGCGTTCGTTTGTCTCTGAGGCCTACGGCCCGTCTTTGACGGGCAAAAACTTCTGCAGCGAGGAAAGCAACAAGCAACACAGATGAAAGCAACTTGATGCAGTTTGCAACGCGAGGAGGATTATGATATCCCTCCGCCAAAGACGCAGAGAGCTGCTGGTGGGCAAGACAAGGACTGTGTGACGTGCGAGTAATGCAACGCATTTCTGTGCAGATGTTGCAGGTCAGGCTCATCAACATTGTCATTGTACGACGAGGAAACTGCTCCTTCACCACCAAGGCCGCAAGCTTTGTGCAATTTGTCCATGCTTCCACTCGCCAGGTGAAGATTGCACAGGCAAAAGGAGCTCACGCAGTCATCATCGTTGACAGAGAGGACATGCATTCGTAGTTATATTGCGCACTTTTTGCATTTTCTTACATGCTCTATGCTCTGAGAGGACTCGGATTACACGTCCAGAGATTTGGCAAACATCATCGTGGCGGATGATGGCTATGGGGATGTGATTCACATTCCATCGGTGTCCGGGCTATTTTTGGGCACACTCATTGAGTCGGTCTGAGTCCCTCGCCTTCCAGCTGCGCAAGTTACTACCAAGGTGCTGATCTCCAAAGAGGACGGCAGACGGCTCATCGAAGCAGCGCAAAGGTCGCAGGCGAAAGCTGCTGGCCCTGCGTGTTTGCACGATTGCTGTTTCAGGTAGATGGATATCTGGGAATTTGTATTTATTCAGCGAGTGCGGGTTGCCATCACTTGTCAATGTCATATTCTTGGGCAGGTTGTTGTGGAACTGGCGTGGGACCTGCCGACGGATCACGTTGTTACGGTAGACATGTGGATGAGCTCTGCCTCGATAGCATCCATGAAGTTCATCAAGGACGATCTGAGCAAATGGACTCAACTTCACTGAACGCAGATACGCGGAATGCAGGAGTTTGCGCCGAAACGCCGCGCCCTCAACGAGGTCATGATCTTCAATCCCCATTATGCCAGTAACCCAGTGAACAGAGTGTACTGTAAAGAGTGCCTTTGAAACCTGCGCATGGCTTGAGTTGCTTGAGGCGGTCTTCAGTATGGACCAAGGCAACCCTGTGGTGTTCTCAGCATGCCGATGCCGCCTCGCTGCCGCCTCGCTGCCTGTGCCTGTGTAACGTCGCAGGCCGTGTACTCTGGAGTCTGCCTGGACAACCAGCCCAAGTTTTGTGCAGAGGCGTCGTGGGATTCCGCTTGCGACTTCCGGGCCATCGGTTTGTCAAGGTGACTGTGTCACTGTGCACCCTCTTCCATGCAATGAGTATTTTGAGTCTTTGAACGCACACCGTACAAACGACAATGTGGTGGTATTTTTTCTGTCGATTGCGAAGCATGCGGCCCCGACCCTGAATATGTATCGTTAGCCCATTTTGGGCCAGTGGGCAGGAGCCCCCGACTCACTTAGAGATGAGAAAGAGCGCTTCGACAGAGGTGCACGAGTGTTAGCCGGAATTTAGCCGAAGAGGAAGCGCCGGTCATCACGGAAGAGACCCGCTGGCACCGGTGTGGAATGGGCCAAAGCCCGAGACCGAGTTCCAGGCTACGGGAAGAATGTGAGGTTGTGGGAGTTCGAGACGGAGGGAGAAGAAGCGCGGAGTTAAGCTCCTTCAGAGCTTGTCGGGCAATGCCCGCGCCATGGCTGACACGCTGGAGTTTGAGGTGGTGTGCGCAGCTGGAGTGAAGAACGTTATGAAGTTACTGAGCGCTTTGCGCCACACTTGGAGACGAGTTTGGTGTGTGCCTTGGAGGCAGCCGTTTATGGGCAACAGAGGTCGTGCAAGGTTTCAGGAGTACCTGATCCGCATGGAGAAAGGGCTACATCATATGTGCCAGGAGGCGAATCAACCACCTAGTCAAATGACAAGTGGTCGTGGTAAAAAGGGGTTGTAAGGTAAATGATCTGCGCTGTCTCACGACTCGATGCGACGGCGGAATGCGAACCCTTTTGCTTTGCTTCACAGCTGTGTGTTGGATGTTTGCCTCGACTCTATTATCAAGGTCTTGAGCCAAATGCATTCGCGTGTACATGTCGGCTGCACACAAAACACAATTCCCTCAAAGGTTTAGGACCTTAAACAAGGGGAACTGCCCTTAGGATGTTTTAGCCTGCGGCTGGGAGATTCTTAGCATCCCCCATCCCGGGCTTGGGTTCATCCCTGGGTCGGGAACCAGTCACAAACGCATGCCGACACGCATGGACGCACGGCTTCTCTTTTTCAATTCAGTGAAACGTCTCTGCACGAGTTTGACCAGGTTCTGTAACTTAACATGAAATGAGAATGCTACAGGTCTCTTACCGGACCTCATGTGCAATGGTGCACATGCAGCAAGCTATCTATGAGGTAATTGTACATCCAGAGCGGTCTGCAGAAAACGAATATCCATGACTAGCATAGTCCATCAAAAATTTGTGACCAGTAATAATCGTAGCGTTGAATAATCGCTGACCGCCAAATACCTGGCATCTCCAGAATAGTAGTCGCCGATGACGATACTGTACGGAAACAAGAAAACATTCTGTGGTGATAAATGTAAGTCTCATGCAAATACTTTTGGCTATGCCCAGGGTACCGTGCACGACAAGTACCGCAAGGGCTGGCCATGATACCATGCGCGATGAGTATATCACGATCCCATTGTGTAAAATGCAAAGTCCAGTTGATCCCCCACGTGGAAGAAATCGTAAAAAATGCGTGATCACCAGTGTGATGATTCTACGATGGCCTTTCTACTCGCCCTCCACCGGAACCTTTCTAACAGCGAATGTGGTGTTTCCTCGGTCCGATTGATTTTCTCGATAAAGTGCGAGGGCAGATGTAATTGCGAGAATAGCACCATTGGATGAGATGAGTGTCAACCTCTTTTTTGCTTTGAATCAAGAGCTTGCGTCCAATGTTCACATCTGTTCGGTAGAAGGTCATGTAGTCGCAATTGAGGCCAAGGGCGACGCATCGGAATATCGTGTCGCTGACGCAGGCAATGTCCTTCTGGTGGCTGACACCTCTGAACTGCTCTGCTTTGATACCAAGTATATTGCAGGCGGTCCAAATCCGATACATGATGTATAGCCCTCTCAGCTTCAGGAACCAAAAGAACATTTCTTCGTCCCTGTGGTTCGCGCTTTTGAACCTCACATTTCTGAACTTAGGAGCTCTTCATAGGTGGGCGGGATTGGAGTGTTCTGTTCATCGACTTCTTTGAAAAGCCGATCGTCCCTCCCGTAGATCCCGATGTAGGGACAGTAGAGTCCTTCACCTTTGCCAGGCTCCTTGACCACATCTGCCTCGTTGTTGGCAAATACCTTCCACACTTTGAAAAGCACGATGCCAATGAATCCAGAGAGGTATGATGCCTCGCCGGCTTCGTCAGCCTTGACTTGCAGGAGATGAATTGCTTCCGCATCCTCCTCTGAGTTGTCCGGACAAACGCCCGCATCTTCATCGTCGATGTCCGTCCCGATATCCGACGGGATGTGCGATCTGCCTGCAGACCGTTCCTCACTCATTTCATGGGTGTCGGGTCGTTCTTCTTCGGCGATGAATCGCTCAGCATCGTCCTTTGCTTCTCGCTGAGCTTGTTTCACTTCCTCCGTCACATTGGTGGTGTCGGATGGTTTGGGCTCGTCGTCATCCACATGGATCACGAACTTGCCCTTGGAATAATGATAGCGCATGCTGGGCATACTCTGTTGGAAATACTTGATGGATCGTCCTCGCGGTAGACAATGAATTTGCTGAGCAAATCCCTGATCTCTACCAACGATTTGTTGAAGGCCTCGGGCACGCCGATGTTGATGCACGCATCGACGACCATCTTCTTCAGGATGTCAGCGTCCGCAGAGTCTTCATCGTCCAGGAAACTGTTGAGGTTTCCAAGAAAGTCCGCTGGGGTCACGCCCGCAGCATCCTTGAATCCTGGACAGATCTCGCTCTCGACGGCGCGGGAGTAGATCCGCCTAACCTCTTGCACAGGTCCTTTCCTCGTGGACTTGAATCTCCAGATTGCCCCAATCTCTTTGAAGGGAATGGTCTCGAAGGCGACGATCGTCCCACCCGATGTGACCTCTGATTGGTACACGGACAACTTCCTTGTTGGCACGTAGATGGCGATGAGGTCATCTCCCTCCTTGATATTGTGCGTTGCAGTCTTAGTCGAGATGTTCTCGCTGTCCCAAGGTGCAAATACTCCTCTCAAAATGATACCTTCCAGGGCTGATGGCTTTGTCACGTGAAATGCTCCGCCCAAGCGATCGGACATGTTCGGGAACAATATGTTGCAAAGTTCAGCAGGACGAGCGAATCAAGGCCTCCCGTGTGCGCCGCAAGCAAACAAGGCCTCCCTTGCGTACCACATCAGAAGGCGCGCCTTGAAAAAACAAGCAATCGCTGGGCCTCCCTTGTGCTTCACAAGCAACCGCAACACCTCCCTTGCGTACCGCAAGCAATCACAAGGCCTCAACTGCGTGCCACAATCAACCACATCCCTTGTGAACCACAAGCAATCACAAGGCCCCCCTTGTTTGCCACAAGCAATCACAAGGTGCGCCTTGTGTACCACAAGCAATCGAAGGCCTCCCTGGTGTGCCACAAACAATCGCAAAACCCCCCTTGCGTGCCGCAAGCAGCCGCAAGGCCTCCTTTGTGCACCGCAAGCAAGGCCTCCCGGCCCTCTTGTGCACCACAGGCCATCGCAAGGCCTCTCTTGTGTACCGCAAACAATCAGGCCTCCCTTGCCTGCCACAAGCAATGGCAAGGCCTCCTTGTGTACCACAAGCAATCACAAGGCCTCCTTTGTGTTCCACAAGCAATCACAAGGCCCCCCTTGCGCACAGGCCTCCTTGGTATATCACAAACCGTCGCAGGGCGCGGCATGTGCGCCGCAAGCATGTGCCACAAGCAATCCCTAGCCTGCTTCACAAGCAACCGCCACACCTCCCTTGCGTACCGCAACCAATCACAAGGCCTCAACTGCATGCCACAAGCAACCGCCAGGCTCCAAGCGATCGCAAGCGCAAGCCTCCCTTGTGCGCAAGCAATGACAAGGCCTTCCTTGTGCGCCAAAAACAATCACAAGGCCTCCCGGCCCTCTTGTGCGCCGCAGGCCGTCGCAAGGCCTTTCTTGTGCACCGCACAAACAATCACAAGCCCTCCCTTGCCTGCCACAAGGAATCGCAAGGCCTCCCCTGTGCACAAAGCCTAACAAGGCCTCGGTTGCGCGCCACGCCCTCCTTGTACAACAAGCAATCACAAGGCCTCCCTTATGTTCCACAAGCAATCACAAGGCCTCCCTTGTGCTCCACCCCTTGTGCGTGACAAGCAGTCACAGGCCTCCCTTATGTACCACAAACCTGTGTGTACCACAAGCAGTCACAAGGCCTGCCGTGCGCGCCACAAGCAATCACAAGGCCATTTTTTGTGTACCGCAAGCAATCGCAAGGCGCGCCTTGTGTACCACAAGCAATCACTAGGCCTCCCTTGTGCTTCACAAGCAACCACACCTCCCTTGCGCAGCGCAAGCAATCACAAGGCGGCTCCGAAATCCGAATGCCCTGATGACGCTCGAACGCACCATGGTTGCCACCATCCGCCATGCTTGCGACGAACCTAGTCGATGTCGTTCTTCGACCATCCAGCCGCTATGAGACCCGTCATCGTCTCCATGTCGATCTCCTGATCAAACAAGGATCTGCAGTCTCGGCTTTCGTGCTTTCCGATCCTCCGATCTGATGCACTTGGCGATGATTTGGAATCTATCATTCTTTTTGTACCGATCCTGCGGGACCGCGTCCTCACGGCTCAGGATGTGGTCGATGTTCACCCATCCTCCACCATTGCAAGGACTAGGGTTCCAATTCTCCTCCATGTAGTTTATCTCTCCTTCGAAGTACCAGTCACACGTGTTGTTAACATCCTGAGGTAGTTCTTCATTGTTGTCCTGATCTGTGTTCTTGTTCTAGTGGATGTAGGTCTTCTCCTTCTCCTATGTGCCTTTTGGCGCTCTGCAGTCCTGAGCCCAATCAATGGCCAGGCTTGCCACATCGGTGGCATGTCATGTAGTTGTTGCTTCTTTTCTGCCCTTGCTTGATCCATAGCCTTTGGATCCAGCTTGCTTTGTTGCCTTTGTCAAATCCCTTTTAGTGTCCTTTGCTCCAAATGTTGTCAACGTCATTGGTGCAGGTCCTCCATTGTAGTTTGTGCCTACAGCTGAAGGCGCTCTTGAGAAAGCAGAGATCGTCTTGTAGTAGTCCAGAATGACTGCTCTGATCTCGTTGTGGTTCGTGATCTGTCCAGCTCGCAGTTGGAGATGTTGTTGCAGCGCTCCTTTGCTTTTGTTGAGTAGTACTGCGATTTGAATTCCATGGTAGTGCTGCGCCGTTGTCTTTCTCGTTGGTCTTCAAACTGTGCTTCGTTGAATGTAGGTTCCAGTAGCTTGGTAAGGCAGCCAACGCTTCGTGTTCCTATTGGTAGGCTGAACCTGTTGCGCAAGAGTCGTAGTGTTTCACATCCATTTGCGTTGTAGCGGTTTTGCCTCACTTCTGCTGCTGTTCCCTGACATATGTTGATAAGGATGTAGTGTAAATCTCTGGAAAGGTCTACTGCTTTGCTTGCTTGTGTAGGGTCAAGTATGTGTGTTCTCATATATGCATCCTCAATCTGTCGTGTAGCTACTTGTGCCAGTTGTGTAGCACCAGGTCAAAGTCTCGGTCTATGAGTCCGAGGTCTGCTTGTAGCTTGAACATCCGTTCTGCATACTGGAGTACCAGTGAAGAAGGGTGGTGGCAGTTTGGGTGGCAGTTTGTATCGATGTAGTCTCTGGTTCTGTTCCTGCTCACGTAGTCGTGGCTCCTACTGTTTCTGCTGTTGGTCCATTCTCTGCTCTGTTGTGCTGAAGCTGATGCTGCTTCTCCTGACATGTCGTAGTAGGTTGGCGTGTGATTGCTATTGCAGTTGCTGTAGTACTTACTGCTGGATACTGGAGCCCCCCTATGTTTAGGATCTCCGCTCCGCAACCGCGTCAAATTCAAAATGTTGTTTACTACAAGTGCAGGTGTTGCTGAGCTGTTGTTATCACAAACAACTCTGTAGTCTGCGCAACTTCCTTTTTGCATGATGGAGTATCAACTGAGCTCAAGGCCTGCAGTCATGTACAAGCTATGTAGTACAACACCGCCTCTCACACTCACTCTCACACCCACTCTGACTCTCACTCTCACTCTCATTGGTATCTCGTTGAAGATGATTGCATGTTTTCAGCTCCCTCAGGATCCAGATGGTGGCGGCGACATCACCGGCAAAGATGCCCCGAACCAGAAACAGCTTTAACACACCTGTGCTGGTGCATACAAGGTGCTTGAAGAAGATGTGCGACAGCTTTGCATCCATGACAAGACAAAGGCCTTGGATTGTGTCATTTGCTCCGCAACCACGAAGCCTTGTGTTTGCGCGTTGCGCGTGCTGCAGTCTTGCAGCTTGAGCCGCCTTGCAGAAATCGCGAACCAGTTTGGATGACCTGGTGAAAGGAAAGGCGTCCGTCGAGTCTCGAACTTAGCAGCGTAGTGCGCGGCTTGAAGTGGGACGCGCGAAACTTATGAGGTATGCTGCCGAATATTGGGACTACATGGAGAAATTCCCGGACAGGTGGGAGACGACATTGCCACGCTTGCCGTGTTCGGCGCCTTGCCCTGGTGGTGCTAACCAACCAGCGAGGTGTCCCCTGGACGGCAGCGGCAAGGCCAAGTTTGGCCTTGAATGCTCCCTGCAAGTAATGAAAGAGGCGGGCTGGCGTATGGCGTTGTTGGCAGCTGCAAAATCAAATCGAAATCTTGAAGGAGGGAAAACGGGTACGGAGAAGCGTAAAAACACAAAGGGGTTCCTTTCTGCATTTGTTCTGTTTCCCGGACACATGAGATTGCGCATCTTTTGCCGTTCATGAAGACAAGAGTGTTTGCTCGTGCTTTTTGTTTCCTTTATTTTCTTGTTGTTTTGTTACGTGTGCTCCTCGTTGACCTGGTGTTCCTAGTCGCCTCTTTTTCCTTGTTTGCTCGTTTTCTCTTGTTTCCTCATGTTTTCGCGTGCCAGCCTTTCTTGGTTTTTCTGTTGTTTCCTCTGGGTTTCCCTTGTTGACGGGTGCTTCTTGTTTCCTCGTTTGCCGTGTGTGCGCAGCGTTCTCTTGGTTTTTCTGTTGGTTCCTCTCGGTTTCCCTTGTTGACGGGTGCTTCTTGTTTCCTTATTTGACGTGTTTGCGCGTGCCGGCGTATTCCTTGTTTCCTTGTTTGCCGTGTTTGCGTGTGCCAGCGTTTTCTTGGTTTTGTGTTGTTTTTTCTCAAGGTTTCTCTTGTTGACGGGTGCTTCTTGTTTCCTTGTTTTCTTGGTTTTCTGTTGTTTCCTCTAGGTTTCCCTTGTTGGCGGGCGCTTCTTGTTTCCTTGTTTGCAGTATTTGCCCGTGCCAGCGTATTCTTGGTTCTCTGTTGTTTCCTCTAGGTTTCTCTTGTTGACAGGTGCTTTGTTTTCTTTGTGAGCCGTGTTTGCGCAGCGTTTTCTTGGCTTTCTGTTGTTTCCTTCAGGTTTCCCGTGTTGACGGGTGTTCTTGTTTCCTTGTTTCGTTTTCTTTGTATGTCTGTTGTTGCCTCTTGGTTTCCCTTGTTGATGGGTGCTTCTTGTTTCCTTGTTTGCCGTGTTTGCGCGTGCCAGGTTTTCGTGGTTTTATGTGGTTTCCTCCCGGTTTCCCTTGTTGACGGCTTCTTGTTTCCTTGTTTGCTGTGTTTGCGCGTGCCAGCGTTTTCTTGGTTTTCAGTTGTTTCGTCTAGGTCTCCGTTGTTGACGGATGCTTCTTGTTTCCTTGTTTGCCGTGTTTGCGCTTGCCAGCGTTTTCCCTTATTTTTTCTTCTTCCTTTTTCTCTCTCTTGTTTGCTTCTTCTGTTGTTTCCTCTCGGTTTCCCTTGTTGACGGGTGTTTCTTGTTCTCTGGTGCTTCTTTGTGCAGGTGGGGATTGACACGGCGGAGATCCAGGCCTGTGCCACAGCGGAGCGCGATGCGCCCGGGCCCAAATTGTGCTGCGCGGAACGCTGGGGCGAGGATCATAGAGTCTGATAGAGGTCAGTAAAAAGAAAAGAGGTGGAAGGGTGACAGGGGAACCAACCAGCCAGGGGAAAGGGCCAAGATAGACCTGGGCTAATTGTTGGAGAAGGAAACAGGGAAGAGGGCGAACGGGTTGCGCGGCCTTTGGCTCCCGATTGAGGAGACTTAGCCATGAACTGGAAAACCCCGCCGCCACCTCAGCTTGGACACTTCGTAAGTTCCGCTTCATGATTTGAAACTTATTTGTTTCTACACATGTCTCAACATGACGCACCACCGATCGGTTTTGCCGAACCAGCACTTTGCCATTTTGCTCTTCATGGTACTTCCGTTTGCTTGCTTTTCTCGATTCTCCTGGCAAAGTGTTCTTCCTCCCTTCATGCTTTCGAACTTTACTTCTTGTTCTGACATCTCTCCTTCCAATTCTTTTCTTCTTCCTACACTCGCCCTGTTTAACCTTTTGTTTGGCTAATTCGGTCCCATTTCTTTTCGTTATTTTCTTTGTTTAGGCTTGGTCGCCGCGGGCCCTGCGGATCAACGGGTGGCGGTACAGCGGGATGCTGACGGCCGACCTCGTCGTGCGCGCCGTGTGCTCCGGCTTCATCCACGAGCCAAAGCCTCGGCGAGACCTTTCGAAACGGAAAGCAAGTGAAAGGATCAGAAGGAACACATGGAACGCAAATTTGTTGCATTTCATTCTTGAAACGGAGAGAGCAAGACGGCGCTCGCTGTCTTCGAAAATTGTTTGAATTCGAATTGGTATTGTCGACTTAGGCCCAGAGAATGCAGCGATCTCATCACGGCTCGAGATGTCTTCCGGCCCTACATCCCTGTGCCATCGGTGCCTTGGCCCGGCGACAGATCTTTCCGTTCTCGCCGCTTTTGAGATTCGAGTCTGCTTTTTGTAGTTTGAAGTGAAGATGTGTTCTCGTGTGTTTTTTAAATTTATCATTGCTTCTTGTTCTGCTTTTTCTCGAGGGCGGCGTCAGCCTGGGAGAGCTCCTGGGGTGGCTGTTAGCGACCATCTCTCTGGGTTTTGCCGATTGCTTGGCCGTTGGCGTGATATTGCGTAGCATATGGCCGACTATTGCGTGCAATGATTTCGACTCAGGTTTGCATGTTGATGTACAAGTGGGGGCCTCAGCCGGACTTTTCCACATCTTGGCTTGGCAACATGTTTAGGCGCTACTTGAAGAAAGAGATGCGCACAACTCTTCGGGAAGAGGCCGTCGGTGCGGTTGACCTTAAGCCTGCAACGGGAGCACAGAACTCGGAAGGTGATGTTGGAGGTGCAGGCACAGATGGGTGAGTACGCTCAGCTCAGGGGCGCATAGAACACAAGCCGTCCAAAATCGAGCGCGCGGCTGATGTCTTTCGTCTTGCGCTCGCCCCTCCCGCCCGTCCCTGTTGCGTGGATCAAGGAATGAACGCACAAATGCAGAACGCAACAGGAAGCCACACAAAAACAACGAAGCAACACGAAGCAACACGAAGCAACACGAAGCAACACGAAGCAACACGAAGAAACACGAAGACGGAAAGTGAAGATTTTGAAGCGAGAGGCGAGCGAAGGGAGCTGCAAGCGTAAGCGCATGGCCTCGGCTCCATGTCAGGACCTTCGATTCGCTCGAATTTGCAGCTTCCGACTTCCGACTTGGCGCGCACTTTGCTTTTTGGCGCGTAACCACGTGCATCGAATCGCGCAGGAGATGGAGTCGAGAGCATTTTCAGGCGACGCTTGGCGGGCTTGAGCCCTCAGAATTCGGCTCACGCTAGGCACCCGTTGGCTGTCACGTACCCGTCGCCGTTGCTTTTGGCGCTTGGCCCAGTACAGAGATGGCTTTATTTTGTGAAACAAAACCGTGCAGTTGAACTATCCTCTCATCGTCAGCAATGTGAAGATGCTCAACGAGAAGGTGCCGCTTCACACCTTGTCACACCATTTACACCTTTTCACACTCCACAAGCTTGACGCCAGGGAGTTCGACCAAAATCCACTCTGGTTGGCACCATTCGTATGCTGCGTGACACGTCGCATGCTCAGGGCTTTCCCTTTTTTCTATTTCTTTGTCTGCTCTTCGGCAGGCACAGCGCAGAGGGCATCATCGGCCTCTACAAGGGCGGTCACCTCTACCTGCTGCACCAGGCTCTCCGCGACTTCCTGCGGCTGGTGGCGGAGAGGGGCCTTGGCGCCATTGAGCGCAGGCCGGAACTCGCATTCCGAGAATTCCGACTTCGGAATCTTTTTCTTCTTTTTCTTCTTTCCGTATTCAGTTTCAAGTTTCGAGTTTGCCTCAGGCTGAGCTGCGAGGCGCGCCCCAAGGCCCAGTACCTTGGCAGGCGTCGAGCAGTGCTGCGTGCGGTGTGTGTGTGTGTGTGTGCGCGCGGTTGGCGTGAAGCCGGGACGCGCCAGACTGGCGGTGAAGTACTGTATCGACGGCTTGTGCTACCCTGTGCTGCTGGCCTCTTCCAGAAGCATCGTGAAGAGCGACCAGGAGAAAAGTGAAAGTCAGGAAAGGTCGAGTCGAATCGGAAGTCGGACGGAGGAAAGGAAGTCGAAGGCGTAGCTCAGGAGAACTCTTGGCAGTCGCTACAGATGTGGAGCCGGGGGCCCAAGGTGCCAAGCCTCTGGCTCACTTGTGCGACTTCCACTTTCGCGACGCAAAGGCCGCGAGGAGGGTATTTGGTCGCTCTTCGCAGGGCTGACGGCCTCTTTGGTGTCCACGGCAATCGAAGAGGCGCGAAAGAGACAAGGGAAGAGAAAAAGGCAGACACTGAAAGAAAAGAAGCAACAGAAGCTATGAGACATATTTACAGTTTGTTCGGCGAAAGGCGCGTCTGAGGCCATGGAGATGCTGCTGACGTATTGCATGGAGCGGTACGCCCGCACTACGGTGGACGCCGCGGACAAACTCGTCCTCAAGGACCGAATGCAGTGACGAACTGAACGGCATTAGCGACAAGAGAAGGATTCTCTTCCAATGTTCAAGAGAGAGCAGACTTGACCTTGATTGCCTTCTGGTTGGAACTGACAGACTAGTTCATTTTTTTCAATCCGGTTTCTCTCGTGTCGAGCCTGTGCCGGCCTGACTTTGCAAGTCGGGGAATGCAACGCCGGTGCTATCGGACTCAATTAGCTGACGCGAGCCAGAGTGAGAGATTCTTAGGCCTGTGGCAGCTCTGTGGTCTCTGTCTTTACATCCCCTGTGAATTATGTGGGCATTATCCAGAGGCACGGAAAGCAAGAAAGCAAGACGGCAAGAAGGCAAGAAGGCAAGGCAAAGGGAACGTGTGAGTCGCAGGTGCCAGTCGCACCTGCCGACTCTGCCTGAGATTGGGCCTCAGAGCTGGTTGTTCCATGATCTTCCTAAGTGTCTTGTTGCGTCTTCTTGTTTCTTTGGTTTCTTTTGTATTTTCTGCGGTCTTCGGGCAACTTGCCATCTAAGCGCATTACTCCGAGTCCTCAGTTTCTTTCTTTCTTAAGTCTCTTTGTCTCTCGGCTTCTTTGATCTTGCGTCTTACATCTTGCATGTTCATTCCCTTCTTGCATCTCTCTTCACCATAACATCTTTCTCTTCTTCCTTCGTTCGTTCTTGCCTTCCTTCCTTTCTTGCTGACATGCTCTTCTTTTCTCCATCCTCGCCCTTTCTCTTCCAGGCGGCGGAGCTTCGCGGAGATCATCCACGGCTTGCCCTGGCGAGGATGGCGCAGAATAAACACAGAAACGCCTGGCGACGGCCGGAGACTGAAGTCTATGCAGTTTGAAAGAACGGCGCGTCGAAAATACACGCAAAGCAGGAAAACCCTTCGGCCAGGATCCTTCAACAGCCTGGTGCTCTATGGAGGCATCTTGACACTAAATGTGAGGCGGGCTGACATGCAGCCGGAGCATTCACATGCTTGTTGTTTCTGCTGCGAGCCAAAGGACAGAGCCTTCAGAACGTCAAAGATGCGATCGCATTTGCGCACAGTGGCGCACACGCATTACTTTGATACAGCATGTTTTCAAATTCGTGCGTTGCAGCGTTTTACACAATAGCATGTGAATCACAGCCCTTTTGAGATCGAACAAATGGAGAGTGCCGCTGCATGGTGGCGGAAACGGTCAGGCAGAAATCCCTTCGTAGGGGCCAGACCGGGGTTGGGCGGCACACTCCAAGAGGCGTGCGTGGCAAGAGTGCTGGGGAACCTCATCAACCCCAAAACCTAGGGAGAGCCTGGAGATTCCTGAATTTTCTGCAACAAGCAGAGGCAGCGTGGCAAGCGAGCTTTTCTATGGCAGACATCGGGAGGCCCGGACTTCAGCAAGGTCACAGAGGCGGACTTCTTGGACAGCCTGGCTGGGGTGGCAAATTCTCATCAGCAGGTATGAGGACCAGTGAGCCACGAAAAGGTGAGGAAGTGAGTGAAGGACTATTTGTGCATGGCGAAGAACAGTCCAAGGACAGGAACAAAGGCAAGACACCCAACAAATCCAAAGAACAGGACAAGGGCGTGATCAAAGTTTGAAGGTGAATGTGAGTACTGCGGAAAGCGGGGCCACCAGAAGGAGTATGACCAGAAGCAAAGGAAGGTGCGAGTCAGCCCTCGCAGCATGCCAAGTTATCATCAGGGTCTGCAGCGGTTGTCTACAACCTGGCTGGACCCAGTCCTTGACAAGCGCTCAACGTCTGGTGGCAGCGGCTGGGTGCATTTCATGCAAGGCAACTCCGGCTTGATTGGCCTCAAGCATAACCCTACACGAAGGGCAACTGCAGGAGCGAGACCAAGACGAACGACTACTTGATGAGGAGGGAACACATCAGTCTGCATTGACAGCATTTTTTAAAGGGTGGATATGCCAGAAAGGTTGAGGCGTCTGACGCAGCCTGTCCATGGAGGCTGAGAAGACAAGGCTGGAGATCAGCCCGCAGTGCGAAGTTGTGATATGCTAGCGGTGTTGAGAGGCTCGGTGCTGCGGCTGACTCCCTGAAGTTGAAGACATACCGTGCCGGGCGGCGTGTTGGTCGTGACGTTGGAGGAGCCCCACTAGGATGAAGCTGACAAGGGTCCAGAATATGCTTCAGCAGCAGCCCCGTGTCAAATTTCAAGAGCGTCCGCCGGCAGCTTCAAACCACACTAGGTTTTGACCTTCAGGCGTCGGGATCCACATAGCCCCGCGCTCACTTGCTGGGCATGTTCCGTGCAGCTCCTTGCAGGACGCTGTTACTTCAAGCCGAAGGCCCTGCCGAGCTGAGTGTCACCTTTTCCCTCTGTGTGATTCACGCGGCGCGCTCACGGAGAAGCCCCGTCCGCTTGTTTTGCCTCTCAAAACGGGTGGGCGTTTGTCATGACCGCGCTTCAGCCTTTGCTGCGCGCTTGTCCTCACCCTCAAGGTCAATCCATTCAGCCTGGACGTCTACAGCGACCCAACATGACTTCTTTGAGCAGTGGAGTAGCAGAGTCAAGGGAGGTGTGGGCGCAGCAAGCCTTGAAGGCAAAGAGGTTCACGCGTTGGCGCAAACGAGGAACGTGGCACACATTGACGCGAAAGGCTTGGAGTCGAGAAATGCTGGGCTCTGTACAGTGGCAGCATGGAGGTGAAGAGGAGCCTGACGGACGTGGCCTTGATGATGATGACGCTTTGCGGGTTGTAGCATATCCCACAGGTGCAGGCCAAAGACGTGAGTTGCCAGGATTGATTTGGGTTGATGCTCTGGACAGTCCGAGCCTGACCTATCTCTTGCGCAGAGCCTTGATCTGGAAGAGCGGATTTGGTGGAGGAGACGAGCCCAATGCAAAGCAATCTGGCCAGCAGCTTGATTGAGGAGAAACACATGCAGGGTGATCAGCTCATTAGTTGCAACAGAACCTCTGAAGGGCGCATCGTTATAAGAGAAGGTGCAGGCGCATCAGACTCAAGAGCTGCCCCAGGTCAGGATGCGCAAGGACTGCCCTAAAGTCAAAAACAAGATACCCCAAAGGGCGCCGCAGCGTTGTTGCAAGAGCATATGAGGTACTGGCAATACTCTCGTGCTTGCGGGATGTAAGAGTCTCGCACATTGTGTTGGACAATCACGAAGCCATATTATGCGTTGCAGCCATTGGCGCGCGTCGCTACAGGCAATGCTTTTGGATAGTGCATGGTGAAGCGCAAGCGTTGTTTAATCCAACGCGCGCTCGCGCGTGCACGCCAGCGCGGACCGCAAGCTCAACCTTCCGGTCGATCGCTTTGTGCGGAGGCTCATCCAGTGGAAGATGCAGCTCCAAGAGGTGACGGGACAGAAAGTAAACCGACGTGACGAGAGTGACTGCGCTGCTCTCAGGAGGATGAGTGATGCAAGAAAACAGCGCTGAAGCTGCGCTTGTGAACATTGAATAAGTGCAGTCAATGAAGTCGTTCCATGAATTCGTTCCATGAATTCGCCAGTGCCCGGCGCTGCCCGAGTTTTGGCTCGACTGACCAGCTCTTTCAACTTCATCCGAGCTCGAGGATGTTCCGTGCGGCTCTTTGGGCCCTCTTGGGCGGCGCCGCCGCCCTTGAGCTCACCGAGACTTGCTGCAAAGAGCTTGAGTTGCCACGTTGCCGTGTTTGCCGTGGGATAACTCAGGAGGCGAACTGGGATGTGGCGGCCTCATGGGCACAGCAACTGGAAGCGCAAATGCAACAAACAAGTGGCTAGGCGGAAACGGCCGGGAAGAGCGTCTTCGTCAAGCCGCTTGGCAAGTTGGCGTATCTGAGCACGCTGCCCCGAGACTGCCCTGCAACTGCAACTGCCCTCAACTGTAACTGCAACTGCAGCTGCAACTGCAACTGCGCTGCAACTGCCCCGCAACTGCAACTGCAACTGCAACTGCAACTGCGACTGCCTTGCAAATGCAACTGCCTCTGCAACTGCCCTGCAACTGCCCTGCAACTGCCCTGCAACTGCCCTGCAACTGCTACTGCGCTGCAACTGCCCTGCAAGTGCAACTGCAACTGCAACTGCGACTGCCTTGCAACTGCAACTGCCCTGCAACTGCAACTGCAACTGCGAGTGCCCTGAAACTGCAACTGCCCTGCCCCTGCCCTGCGACTGCCCTGCGACTGCCCTGCGACTGCCCTGCGACTGCCCTGCAACTGCCCTGCAACTGCCCTGCAACTGCGCTGCAACTGCCCTGCAAGTGCAACTGCAACTGCAACAACTGCCCCGCAACTGCAACTGCAACTGCAACTGCAACTGCCCTGCAACTGCAACTGCCATGTAACTGCCCTGCAACTGCAACTGCAACTGCAACTGCAACTGCAACTGCGACTGCCTTGCAACTGCAACTGCCCTGCAACTGCAACTGCAACTGCAACTGCAACTGCCTTGCAACTGCGACTGCCTTGCAACTGCAACTGCAAATGCAACTGCAACCGCAACTGCAACTGCGACTGCCTTGCACCTGCAACTGCCCTGCAACTGCAACTGCAACTGCGAGTGCCCTGAAACTGCAACTGCCCTGCCCCTGCCCTGCGACTGCCCTGCGACTGCCCTGCGACTGCCCTGCGACTGCCCTGCGACTGCCCTGCAACTGCCCTGCAACTGCGCTGCAACTGCCCTGCAAGTGCAACTGCAACTGCGAGTGCCCTGCAACTGCAACTGCAACTGCGAGTGCTTGAAACTGCAACTGCCCTGCCCCTGCCTTGCGACTGCCCTTCGACTGCCCTGCAACTGCCCTGCAACTGCCCTGCAACTGCCCTGCAACTGCCGCGCTGCAAGGTTCCTGGCACCGTGGTGAGGCAGGGATGCAGTTTCAGGGCAGCGAAGCATGTGTTCTATTACTTTCGAATGGCGCTGTAGCTCTTTGCTTCAAAGATCTGTGATCTGCGGAAGCACGTGCGTTGTATGGTCTCATGAGTGGTTCGTCCACTTGAAACCTATTTACTACAGTACACAGTATAGGATAAACGTGCTTAGAAGAGATGGCACGGTGTTGCAGTATGTGCGTGTTTGTGTCAGAAACTGCACTTTCTTGGGTCGAATCAAGGTAAGCGACGTGTTTGGGGGTGTCAGGGCACGAAGATTGCTGCTAAAGTGTACGCCTTTTCCTCAAAGCATGAGGCTGTAGTCTTGTTTGTCGAGGTTTGTCACTTCACGGCAGGCCATTGCAAGAAGCTGAAGCCTGATTGGGACAAGCTGATGGATGAGTTCAATGGCAGCCCTGGCTCTGTCGTGGCCGACGTGGACTGTACAACAGAAGGACAGTCCCTATGCGAGAAGTTTGAGGCTTCCTGGCATGGTTAGACATGCGTACAGGACAACTTGACTACTGTGCGGTGCAGAGTACTTGTTAAGCCTGTCGAGCTTTGCAATATGTACAGATCAAGCATGGGACATGAAGCTCATTAGGTCTAGGAACAGCAACTTTGGCAAAGAGCCTCAGTTGAAGGAGTCGCACAAAGAAGTTTTTGGTCGCTCTAATTGTAGCTGCGCATGCGCAGAAAACACGTTGCAAATCGCTTCAACTGGTGCGGGCTGGCTGGCTGGGTGGGGTCTGGGTTTGGGTTCGAACAAAGTAGACGCAACGTGTCTCCGACTTGGTCTGCCGAATGCCATGCCACGTGCCACACGCCGCTGCATGTGAAGGTGAAGGGGACGCTAGGGATTCGTCATGCCGAACTTGCGAACTTGCAAATTAGGCGAAGCTGGCGAACATTGGATTCGGATATCATCTTTCCAGAACGAGGAAACTGAAATCCGAACCCGGAAGGAACTGTTCGGAAGGGCCCACCCTTGAAATTCATTCCACGTACTTACACAAAAGCACAACCCCGGAAAGGTGTGAAACGGATTAGCTGTCACCAAGCAATGGCACCCTTGAGGTGCGCCAGAAGTTTGTTGCACAGTGAGTGACATTCGGCATCTGGATCAAGCAAAGACATGGCATATCAGTTGTTTGCCGCAATCGAGAATCTTTGCGCTGCATGTTTCTTTTTCAACACCATCATTTTGGGCGCACCACGTTGTGCGCTCCATCCACTCCAGTTGCGCACAGTTGCGAGATGTGTTTGCGCTACGGGGTCTTCCGGCGAGTTGTGCACTTCGCTCCAAGTTCAGCTCCAAGCTATTTACATCCGTTGGAAAACTTCAGTGCGTGGGATGGACCCGTGGACCCTCACTCCTTAGGGAAAGGACCTGGCCCGGCTCCCTTCCCTACCCAGCCAACACAAGCCGAAAGCTAAGCAAGTTCTAAACAAGCAAACTAAATGCAACAGACAAAATCCCGATTTGCTCCAACTTGCTCACATTTGCCAAACTTTGTATGCACACTTGCACACATATTGTGAATAGTGTTGCAGCCCCATGCCACCCTATCGTGGCGTTTGGCTCAGGACGCCTGCTTGCGCAGTCTTTGCGCTATCACACCGGAGTACTTTGCAGGCTTTTCGGGGGGTTGTACAATATAATCGCTCGTACACAACGTAAATTGCTTCGGTTTCTCAGGTTACGAGCTGTGAGACAGAGGTGGAGATACCGTTGTGATGAGATGTGGAGCCCAAGCATCAAGTCAGCCAGGCAACACTGACATGGGCCAGAGTATGATAGCAAGGACTCAAGACGGCGAAAGGGCTCAAGCCCGCAAATCCTGCAGAGGGGGCGCGGCAGATCATCATCCCCAAATAAAACACCAGTGAGTGGGAGTCTGGGAATGCGGATGCGCAACTTGAGAAGAATTGTGCAAACACCATGCAAGACAGAACGCAAAATGAATGAAGTGCAGGATGAACGTGCCAGCGTGGAATCTACAACCCAAGCCCTACGAACCAACGAGGCAGGTTGCGTTCAGAGGAGAATGGAGAGAATGAATCACACCCTCAAGGCTCAAGTTGCTCAATGGAAGAATGAAGGACGAATATGATCCTAAGGGGGAGAAATGGCCAAATGTCCGAGGTGGAGATCCGTGCATTGGCCATAAATGAAGAAGCGCGAATGCAGAGGAGAAGAAGTCTTCGACATCGCTACATCAAGCGATGGACGCCGGAAGTGAGCTCAGATCTCCGGCCAACGTAGAAGTCGATGCGAGAAGACGCCTGCAAGGGGAGGTGGGGACACTCCAGAAAGACCGGCCCATCCGGCGCCAAAATCCAAGACCAGCCGACGGCTAAGGCTGAGGCAAACGCTGAAGGCAAAGCCAAGGCAGCTGACTCAGCTCCAGTGCTTCCGGACAAGAGGGGACGGCTCCGAGAGCGCAATCCGCTGCTGGGAAGAAGAGTAATCTCACGTCTTCTGTGGCGAAGCGCCCGAAGGGAATAGAATGTCATCGGAGAGAGACCGACGCGCTGGCAAAGGTGCTGATTGAATCAACCGGCACGAAGAAGAAGAACGCTGAGGATACAACGCCAGCGATGGCAACCAGCTCGGTATGGGAGGACTCCGAGAACGAAGCAGAATCAAATTGCAGTTCTGATGATTGTGCTGACAGTGATGCAGAGACGGAGAATCAGAGACATTATTTTGGACATACGAAAGGGAATGCTCACTCACTGACAGCTGCGTTTTCGGCCTCTGCCCGGAATGTTCCAAAATGAGCATCAGCGCGCGGGGGGCGAAAATAGTGTCGCAGTCCCAGGGCCAGGCTCGAGACATATCCTGTGGTTCAAGCCTCGATGGGAACAACATCACTCGAAACAAAGTTGTGCTCGCGCAGTGTTTGCGGCATCGAAATGGGGTACTTTGCAGGCATTTCGGGGGGTGGTGCAGCCAAACCATTGGCCTTCAAGATAAATACCTTCGGCTTCTCACCTTTACCTAAGCTTGCTCACAATTCACTTTGGATGCAAAATCCCTGTTCAAATTTGCTTGCAGACTCTCGGACCAGACGGCATGCCGTGCATGCCGCGCGTCTGAGGTTCGGGGGTACCCCACCATCAAGCACCTCGGCAGTTCATGGCAGTCATTCGCCTGATGTTCCCTCTCACGTAGGTACGGGGACCCCGGCGACTTGAAGGACTCAGAGTCTCCAGAGAGCGAAAGCGGCCGGGCCTGGTGCCCAGGACTACCAGGGAGGCCGCGATTTTGACTCGTTGAAGAAGTTTGCGGAGGAGAACTTGGGGCCGTCTCTTGGCCTCACGGGTCGGGTCGGCTGTGCGGTTGATCCGGTTGATCCGGTTGATCCGTTTGGCGCGGTTGGCGCGGTTGGCGCGGTTGGCGCGGTTTGTGCAGTGCATACTACGCCGACCGAGGACTTGCGGCCCTGCCAATTTGGATCTTTGCAGCGCAGAAGTGAAGAAGAAAGTGGAGTCTTTCATGGCCCGGCATGTGAATCTGAGTTGTTCGCTCGGCTTCTCGCTCAGGCCATGTCGTTGGACCGGCTAGAGGGCAAGATCCGCAACTCCATTCGAATCGTGGAGGAGGAGGCGGGACAAAAGTTCAAGCTTCAAGGTTCAGATTGGCTTCCAGCTCACTGGTTTGACTGACGCATCCAGGTGCCCATCATGAAGAAGGTCGCGGCTCACTTGAAGAAATCCAAAAGTGAGCTGTAAGCTCTAGGTACTCAGGTACTCAGCTACTCAGGTACTCAGGTGCTCGGGCACTCTCCATGTTTCACGGGGTAAAGTAACAAGTCAGTTGCTTGCAAACACTCGGGTTCTTCCGCAACAGACAGTGCGGAATTCTCTCTGTTCCAAAGCCCAGCCAGTGAAGCAATCTGCTTATGAGCAGCTTGCTGAGTGCTTGGGGTGGAGCAGAGAAACCACAGCCGAGCGCAAGAGTCAAAGAGCGCCGGTCACCCTTGGACATCGCTTGCCCTCGCACAACCATGGGGGGGGGTGTGCGGTCAATGAAGTCGTTCCATGAATTCGTTCCATGAATTCGCCAGTGGCGCTGCCCGAGTTTTGGCTAGACTGACCAGCTCTTTCAACTTCATCCGAGCTCGAGGATGTTCCGTGCGGCTCTTTGGGCCCTCTTGGGCGGCGCCGCCGCCCTTGAGCTCACCGAGACTTGCTGCAAAGAGCTTGCGTTGCCACGTTGCCGTGTTTGCCGTGGGATAACTCAGGAGGCGAACTGGGATGTGGCGACCTCATGGGCACAGCAACTGGAAGCGCAAATGCAACAAACAAGTGGCTAGGCGGAAACGGCCGGGAAGAGCGTCTTCGTCAAGCCGCTTGGCATGTTGGCGTATCTGAGCACACTGCCCTGAGACTGCCCTGCAACTGCAACTGCACTGCAACTGCAACTGCAACTGCAACTGCCCTGCAACTGCAACTGCCATGTAACTGCAGCTGCCCTGCAACCGCAACTGCCCTGCAACTGAAACTACCCTGCAACTGCGCTGCAACTGCAAGGTTCCTGGCACCTTGGTGAGGCAGGGATGCAGTTTCAGAGCACCGAAGCATTTGTCCAATTGTGTGTGGCTCAAAATTAAAGAGCTAGGGTTGCGCAGGTTCTAGTCTTTGGGTCCATTTACCAAGGTGTCATTTTGGTACCACGTTTTGAGCCACAGCCAATTGGTTTCGAATGGCACTGTGGCTTTTTGCCTGATCGGCATGAAGACCTGGGCAACCGTTTGAACTCAAAGATCTGTGAGGGAAGCATGTGTGTCGCATTGTATGGTCTCATGCGCGGTTCGCCCAACTGAAACCTGTTTGAACAATACAGTACACCGTATAGGATAAGCATGCTTAGATAGAAGAGCTGGCACCAGTATTGCCAAGATATCCCGTTGAACTGCTGGCTTGACTGGAGGAAGTAGTCATTGGGAACCTCTGCACTCTGCCCGCTCTGAATTTGCAGGTGTTCCAGTACGTGCGTGTTTGTGTGAGAAGCTGCACTTGCTTGGGTCTAAACAAGGTAAGCGATGTGTCGGGGGGAGTCAGGGCACGAAGATTGCTGCCAAAATATACGTCTTTTCCTCAAAGCATGAGGCTGTAGTCTTGTTTGTCGAGGTTTGTCACTTCACGGCAGGCCATTGCAAGAAGCTGAAGCCTGATTGGGACAAGCTGATGGATGAGTTCAATGGCAGCCCTGGCTCTGTCGTGGCCGACGTGGACTGTACAACAGAAGGAAAGTCCCTATGCGAGAAGTTTGAGGCTTCCTGGCATTGTTAAGTTCTTCAATGTGGTCTTCCTTAGTATGCCTGGCCATGCAAAGTCTCTGCACCCAAAGAAAGACAAGGTGGGCAGCTGGAACAATTGCATTGGCAACCACTTTTGAGTTAACAAGCTTGTCTGTTCCCCTTTTGTCTGCTCCGCTTGACCCTGGCTTGTCGTTGTTGGGTGTGGCTTGCTGACGGTCAACGAGTTGATGGCACGATGGCCTGCGCAGTGTTGTGACTCGCGAGCGTCAGAGTTTCGTGGGAGCACGGAAGCACACGAACTTCTCAAGTTGCCTTGCAGTGCTGGCGAGTGCTGCAAGTGCTAGTGCTGGCAAGTGCCGTGCCTGCCGTGCATGCCGTGCATGCCGTGCATGCCGTGCATGCCGTGCATGCCGTGCATGCCGCGCGTCTGAGGTTCGGGGGTACCCCACCATCAAGCACCTCGGCAGTTCATGGCAGTCATTCGCCTGATGTTCCCTCTCACGTAGGTACGGGGACCCCGGACTCAGAGTCTCCAGAGAGCGAAAGCGGCCGGGCCTGGTGCCCAGGACTACCAGGGAGGCCGCGATTTTGACTCGTTGAAGAAGTTTGCGGAGGAGAACTTGGGGCCGTCTCTTGGCCTCACGGGTCGGGTCGGCTGTGCGGTTGATCCGGTTGATCCGGTTGATCCGTTTGGCGCGGTTGGCGCGGTTGGCGCGGTTGGCGCGGTTTGTGCAGTGCATACTACGCCGACCGAGGACTTGCGGCCCTGCCAATTTGGATCTTTGCAGCGCAGAAGTGAAGAAGAAAGTGGAGTCTTTCATGGCCCGGCATGTGAATCTGAGTTGTTCGCTCGGCTTCTCGCTCAGGCCATGTCGTTGGACCGGCTAGAGGGCAAGATCCGCAACTCCATTCGAATCGTGGAGGAGGAGGCGGGACAAAAGTTCAAGCTTCAAGGTTCAGATTGGCTTCCAGCTCACTGGTTTGACTGACGCATCCAGGTGCCCATCATGAAGAAGGTCGCGGCTCACTTGAAGAAATCCAAAAGTGAGCTGTAAGCTCTAGGTACTCAGGTACTCAGCTACTCAGGTACTCAGGTGCTCGGGCACTCTCCATGTTTCACGGGGTAAAGTAACAAGTCAGTTGCTTGCAAACACTCGGGTTCTTCCGCAACAGACAGTGCGGAATTCTCTCTGTTCCAAAGCCCAGCCAGTGAAGCAATCTGCTTATGAGCAGCTTGCTGAGTGCTTGGGGTGGAGCAGAGAAACCACAGCCGAGCGCAAGAGTCAAGAGCGCCGGTCACCCTTGGACATCGCTTGCCCTCGCACAACAATGGGGGGGGTGTGCGGTCAATGAAGTCGTTCCATGAATTCGTTCCATGAATTCGCCAGTGGCGCTGCCCGAGTTTTGGCTCGACTGACCAGCTCTTTCAACTTCATCCGAGCTCGAGGATGTTCCGTGCGGCTCTTTGGGCCCTCTTGGGCGGCGCCGCCGCCCTTGAGCTCACCGAGACTTGCTGCAAAGAGCTTGCGTTGCCACGTTGCCGTGTTTGCCGTGGGATAACTCAGGAGGCGAACTGGGATGTGGCGACCTCATGGGCACAGCAACTGGAAGCGCAAATGCAACAAACAAGTGGCTAGGCGGAAACGGCCGGGAAGAGCGTCTTCGTCAAGCCGCTTGGCATGTTGGCGTATCTGAGCACACTGCCCTGAGACTGCCCTGCAACTGCAACTGCACTGCAACTGCAACTGCAACTGCAACTGCCCTGCAACTGCAACTGCCATGTAACTGCAGCTGCCCTGCAACCGCAACTGCCCTGCAACTGAAACTACCCTGCAACTGCGCTGCAACGGCAAGGTTCCTGGCACCTTGGTGAGGCAGGGATGCAGTTTCAGAGCACCGAAGCATTTGTCCAATTGTGTGTGGCTCAAAATTAAAGAGCTAGGGTTGCGCAGGTTCTAGTCTTTGGGTCCATTTACCAAGGTGTCATTTTGGTACCACGTTTTGAGCCACAGCCAATTGGTTTCGAATGGCACTGTGGCTTTTTGCCTGATCGGCATGAAGACCTGGGCAACCGTTTGAACTCAAAGATCTGTGATCTGTGGGCTGGCTGGGAAGCATGTGTGTCGCATTGTATGGTCTCATGCGCGGTTCGCCCAACTGAAACCTGTTTGAACAATACCGTATAGGATAAGCATGCTTAGATAGAAGAGCTGGCACCAGTATTGCCAAGATATCCCGTTGAACTGCTGGCTTGACTGGAGGAAGTAGTCATTGGGAACCTCTGCACTCTGCCCGCTCTGAATTTGCAGGTGTTCCAGTACGTGCGTGTTTGTGTGAGAAGCTGCACTTGCTTGGGTCTAAACAAGGTAAGCGATGTGTCGGGGGGAGTCAGGGCACGAAGATTGCTGCCAAAATATACGTCTTTTCCTCAAAGCATGAGGCTGTAGTCTTGTTTGTCGAGGTTTGTCACTTCACGGCAGGCCATTGCAAGAAGCTGAAGCCTGATTGGGACAAGCTGATGGATGAGTTCAATGGCAGCCCTGGCTCTGTCGTGGCCGACGTGGACTGTACAACAGAAGGAAAGTCCCTATGCGAGAAGTTTGAGGCTTCCTGGCATTGTTAAGTTCTTCAATGTGGTCTTCCTTAGTATGCCTGGCCATGCAAAGTCTCTGCACCCAAAGAAAGACAAGGTGGGCAGCTGGAACAATTGCATTGGCAACCACTTTTGAGTTAACAAGCTTGTCTGTTCCCCTTTTGTCTGCTCCGCTTGACCCTGGCTTGTCGTTGTTGGGTGTGGCTTGCTGACGGTCAACGAGTTGATGGCACGATGGCCTGCGCAGTGTTGTGACTCGCGAGCGTCAGAGTTTCGTGGGAGCACGGAAGCACACGAACTTCTCAAGTTGCCTTGCAGTGCTGGCGAGTGCTGCAAGTGCTAGTGCTGGCAAGTGCCGTGCCTGCCGTGCATGCCGTGCATGCCGTGCATGCCGCGCCGTCTGAGGTTCGGGGGTACCCCACCATCAAGCACCTCGGCAGTTCATGGCAGTCATTCGCCTGATGTTCCCTCTCACGTAGGTACGGGGACCCCGGCGACTTGAAGGACTCAGAGTCTCCAGAGAGCGAAAGCGGCCGGGCCTGGTGCCCAGGACTACCAGGGAGGCCGCGATTTTGACTCGTTGAAGAAGTTTGCGGAGGAGAACTTGGGGCCGTCTCTTGGCCTCACGGGTCGGGTCGGCTGTGCGGTTGATCCGGTTGATCCGGTTGATCCGTTTGGCGCGGTTGGCGCGGTTGGCGCGGTTGGCGCGGTTTGTGCAGTGCATACTACGCCGACCGAGGACTTGCGGCCCTGCCAATTTGGATCTTTGCAGCGCAGAAGTGAAGAAGAAAGTGGAGTCTTTCATGGCCCGGCATGTGAATCTGAGTTGTTCGCTCGGCTTCTCGCTCAGGCCATGTCGTTGGACCGGCTAGAGGGCAAGATCCGCAACTCCATTCGAATCGTGGAGGAGGAGGCGGGACAAAAGTTCAAGCTTCAAGGTTCAGATTGGCTTCCAGCTCACTGGTTTGACTGACGCATCCAGGTGCCCATCATGAAGAAGGTCGCGGCTCACTTGAAGAAATCCAAAAGTGAGCTGTAAGCTCTAGGTACTCAGGTACTCAGCTACTCAGGTACTCAGGTGCTCGGGCACTCTCCATGTTTCACGGGGTAAAGTAACAAGTCAGTTGCTTGCAAACACTCGGGTTCTTCCGCAACAGACAGTGCGGAATTCTCTCTGTTCCAAAGCCCAGCCAGTGAAGCAATCTGCTTATGAGCAGCTTGCTGAGTGCTTGGGGTGGAGCAGAGAAACCACAGCCGAGCGCAAGAGTCAAAGAGCGCCGGTCACCCTTGGACATCGCTTGCCCTCGCAAATTGGGGGGAGTGGCAGTACTGTGGCTCCGGTGCAATGTGCAGGCTGTTCAGGTTCCTAGGAATACAGTTTGTGCTTGGCGCCAGGCGCACACGTTTCTTCGTCACGCTTCAAACGGCGCAAGAGCAACCATGTCAAGGGAAGTGAACGGAAGAGCATCCATGCAATGCGTTATTGCCATCCATGCCAATGCCATCCTCCTCGGCAGCCCTGGCACAAAGGCTGGAGAGGGTCCGATTCGTTTGAGCCTTTGGCCTCCAGGCTCAAGGCCTCTGTGGACGGCGCAAAGAGAGGCATTGCTCCGAACTCAAGATGCGATGGGAGTTGGGAAGAGATGGGCGGAGAGGGGAGTGGAGTTGTTGCAAACTGTCGAAGGTCGGGCTGGAGGCCTTCGATCTGCCCGGGCCCGGGCCGCCTGGGCCGCCTGGGCCGCCTGGGCCGTGGCCGGCCGTGAAAGGCCGCAGGGGCCTCAGTCGGACGGCAAGGCTTCGCGAACAGATTACATAATATTTCATAATATGCATACGAACAGATGCCGAAGATATTCGCCGAAATTCGCCGAATTGGCCGAAGGCCATTTGCGGCTCAGCAAGCCGCTAGGCAGGGCGGCAGGGCGGCAGGGCGGCAGTCGGACGGCTTGGGTTTGGCTCGTGTCGAGGAGGTTCGGAGGGCCGATCCGACTTTTTCGCGGAGCTGGCCCAGAACGTGGGCTACGAGGCCCTGAGAAGCATGTCGTAAGGGACGTAAGGCGACGGAAGGCGACGGAAGGCGACGGAAGGATTGTCGTTGTTTGATTCTTTTCCAGGTGCAGCGGCTCCTGCGTTTTACGCTCTTGGGCTACACCAACCCCTTGAATGCTGGGCTCACGGGGCTCCGGGGGCGACGGACATTGCTCCAAGCTTAGGCTGAGATCGAGAAGAAGGCAACGGCGTAGCGTAGCGGATGCCGTTTGCGTCTCGGGTTCAAGGTTTGAGAAGGTTTTTCCTCTTGGGATCGAACGAGCGGATGGGATGGGGGCATGGGGGGATGTCAGGCAGAGCAGCAGATCAACGAGGGTTTGCGCACCGTCCTTGAGCATTTGGCTGGCTATGTGGACAAGGCGAGCCAAAGGTTTTAAGGAGAATAAGGTTGCGAGTCGGATGGAGACAAACCTTGGCTCAGATTTGGAACATTCGGATGTAAGTCCACACGCTTCCGGTCCTCTCCCTGTGTAGGACCGGAGTCTTGTCAGCGCTAGAGGGGCATTGCTACGAGCAAACACAGGACCAACCCATTTGGACTCTAAGTCAGAAGGAGTGCACGAGATGTCAAATGCCACTTTGGATTCCCATATAGACTTCCGCCCCTTAAAACAAGTGTACTAGATATCACAGTCGCATCAGTCCATGATTCACATGTTGCGCATTCCGACACAATGCAATACCACAGCAACTTCTTGACATTTGTGACTTGCTTTTTGAAGTGCACAAGCGAAGCAACGGAAAGAGACAGATCGAGAGAGAAAGAGAGAGAGAGAGTGAGAGAGAGAGGGAGAGCAGAAGGCGTGTGTGAGAGAGCGCAAGCAGTGATAGGTCTTCGTATCCTCAAGCGGGGAGGCAGATTCTGAGGCACGTGCTCAGAAGCCTTGAACTTGCCAGTTTTGTCAGGCCAGTTTTGTCGGGCCTTGCTCTTTAATACTGACCCGCGTGCATGTAGCATCATTTCTGTTTGAGCCCCCAAGAGCCATTTTTTGGATTTGTTGCCTTTTGCATGCCGTGCTTCGCTAGACGTGTGTGTCTGCTCTTGTCCTTCCTTTCCTTCCTTCCCTTCCTTCCCTTCCCTTCCTCCCCTTCCTCCTCTTCCTTCCCTTTCTTCTCTTCCTTCCCTTCCTTCCCTTCCTTCCCTTCCTTCCCTTCCTTCTCTTCCTTCTCTTCCTTCCCTTCCTTCCCTTCCTTATCTTCCTTCTCTTCCCTTCCTTCCCTTCCCTTCCTTCCCTTCCTCCCCGTCCTTCTCTTCCTTCCCTTTCTTCTCTTCCTTCCCTGCCTTCTCTTCCTTCCCTTCCTTCCCTTCCTTCCCTTCCTTCTCTTCCTTCCCTTCCTTCCCTTCCTTCTCTTCCTTCTCTTCCCTTCCTTCCCTTCCCTCTCCTTCCTTCTCTTCCTTCCCTTCCTTCTCTTCCTTCCCTTTCTTCCCTTCCTTCCCTTCCTTCCCTTCCTTCTCTTCCTTCCCTTCCTTCCCTTGCTTCCCTTCCTTCTCGTCCTTCCCTTTCTTACCTTCCCTTCCCTTCCCCTCCCTTTCCTTTCCTTTCCTTTCCTTTCCTTTCCTTCCCTTCCTTCCCTTCCCTTCCTTCCCTTCCTCCCCTTCCTTCTCTTCCTTCCCTTTCTTCACTTCCTTCCCTTCCTTCCCTTCCTTCTCTTCCTTCCCTCCCCTTCCTTCTCTTCCTTCCCTGCCTTCTCTTCCTTCCCTTCCTTTTCTTTCTTCCCTTCCTTCCCTTCCTTCCCTTCCTTCTCTTCTTTCCCTTCCTTCCCTTCCTTCCCTTGCTTCCCTTCCTTCTCGTCCTTCCCTTTCTTCCCTTCCCTTCCCTTCTCCTCCCTTTCCTTTCCTTTCCTTTCCTTTCCTTTCCTTCCTTCCCTTCCCTTCCTTCCCTTCCTCCCTTCCTTCCCTTCCTTCCCTTTCTTCACTTCCTTCCCTTCCTTCCCTTCCTTCTCTTCCTTCTCTTCCTTCCCTTCCCTCCCCTTCCTCCCCTTCCTCCCCTTCCTTCTCTTCCTTCCCTTCCTTCTCTTCCTTCCCTTTCTTCTCTTCCTTCGCTTCCTTCCCTTCCTTCCCTTCCTTCTCTTCCTTCTCTTCCTTCCCTTCCTTCGCTTCCTTCTCTTCCTTCTCTTCCTTCCCTTCCCTCCCCTTCCTCCCCTTCCTTCTCTGCCTTCTCTTCCTTCCCTTCCCTCCCCTTCCTCCCCTTCCTTCTCTTCCTTCCCTTCCCTCCCCTTCCTCCCCTTCCTTCTCTTCCTTCCCTTCCTTCCCTTCCCTTCCTTCCCTTCCCTCCCCTTCCTTCTCTTCCCTTCCTTCTCTTCCTTCCCTTTCTTCCCTTCCTTCCCTTCCTTCCCTTCCTTCTCTTCCTTCCCTTCCTTCCCTTCCTTCCCTTGCTTCCCTTCCTTCTCGTCCTTCCCTTTCTTCCCTTCCCTTCCCTTCCCCTCCCTTTCCTTTCCTTTCCTTTCCTTCCCTTCCTTCCCTTCCCTTCCTTCCCTTCCTCCCCTTCCTTCTCTTCCTTCCCTTTCTTCACTTCCTTCCCTTCCTTCCCTTCCTTCTCTTCCTTCTCTTCCTTCCCTTCCCTCCCCTTTCTCCCCTTCCTTCTCTTCCTTCCCTTCCTTCCCTTCCCTTCCTTCCCTTCCTCCCCTTCCTTCTCTTCCTTCCCTTTCTTCACTTCCTTCCCTTCCTTCCCTTCCTTCCCTTCCTTCTCTGCCTTCTCTTCCTTCCTTCTCTTTTTTCCCTTCCTTCCCTTCCTTCCCTTCCTTCTCTTCCTTCTCTTCCTTCCCTGCCTTCTCTTTTTTCCCTTCCTTCCCTTCCTTCCCTTCCTTCTCTTTCTTATCTTCCTTCTCTTCCTTCCCTGCCTTCTCTTTTTTCCCTTCCTTCCCTTCCTTCCCTTCCTTCTCTGCCTTCTCTTCCTTCCCTTCCTTCTCTTTTTTCCCTTCCTTCCCTTCCTTCCCTTCCTTCTCTTTCTTCTCTTCCTTCCCTTCCCTCCCCTTCCTCCCCTTCCTTCTCTTCCTTCCCTTCCTTCCCTTCCTTCCCTTCCTTCCCTTCCTTCCCTTCCTTCCCTTCCGTCCCTTCCTTCTCTGCCTTCTCTTCCTTCCCTTCCTTCTCTTTTTTCCCTCCCTTCCTTCTCTTCCTTCTCTTCCTTCCCTTCCCCCCCCTTCCTCCCCTTCCTTCCCTTCCTTCCCTTCCTCCCCTTCCTTCTCTTCCTTCCCTTTCTTCACTTCCTTCCCTTCCTTCCCTTCCCTCCCCTTCCTCCCCTTCCTTCTCTTCCTTCCCTTCCTTCCCTTCCCTTCCTTCCCTTCCTCCCCTTCCTTCTCTTCCTTCCCTTTCTTCACTTCCTTCCCTTCCTTCCCTTCCTTCCCTTCCTTCCCTTCCTTCCCTTCCTTCCCTTCCTTCCCTGCCTTCTCTTCCTTCCCTTCCTTCTCTTTTTTCCCTTCCTTCCCTTCCTTCCCTTCCTTCTCTTCCTTCTCTTCCTTCCCTTCCCTCCCCTTCCTCCCCTTCCTTCTCTTCCTTCCCTTCCTTCCCTTCCTCCCCTTCCTTCTCTTCCTTCCCTTTCTTCCCTTCCCTCCCCTTCCTCCCCTTCCTTCTCTTCCTTCCCTTTCTTCACTTCCTTCCCTTCCTTCCCTTCCCTCCCCTTCCTCCCCTTCCTTCTCTTCCTTCCCTTCCTTCCCTTCCCTTCCTTCCCTTCCTCCCCTTCCTTCTCTTCCTTCCCTTTCTTGACTTCCTTCCCTTCCTTCCCTTCCTTCCCTTCCTTCTCTGCCTTCTCTTCCTTCCCTTCCTTCTCTTTTTCCCTTCCTTCCCTTCCTTCCCTTCCTTCTCTTCCTTCCCTTCCTTCCCTTCCTTTTCTTCCTTCCCTTCCTTCCCTTCCTTCCCTTCCTTCTCTTTCTTCTCTTCCTTCCCTTCCCTCCCCTTCCTCCCCTTCCTTCTCTTCCTTCCCTTCCTTCCCTTCCTTCTCTTCCTTCCCTTCCTCCCCTTCCTTCTCTTCCTTCCCTTTCTTCACTTCCTTCCCTTCCTTCCCTTCCTCCCCTTCCTTCTCTTCCTTCCCTTCCTTCCCTTCCTTCCCTTCCTTCTGTTCCTTCTCTTCCTTCCCTGCCTTCTCTTTTTTCCCTTCCTTCCTTCCTTCCCTTCCTTCTCTTCCTTCTCTTCCTTCCCTTCCCTCCCCTTCCTCCCCTTCCTTCTCTTCCTTCCCTTCCTTCCCTTCCCTTCCTTCCCTTCCTCCCCTTCCTTCTCTTCCTTCGCTTTCTTCACTTCCTTCCCTTCCTTCCCTTCCTTCCCTTCCTTCCCTTCCTTCTCTTTCTTCTCTTCCTTCCCTTCCCTCCCCTTCCTCCCCTTCCTTCTCTTTCTTCCCTTCCTTCCCTTCCTTCCCTTCCTCCCCTTCCTTCTCTTCCTTCCCTTATTTCCCTTCCTTCCCTTCCTTCCCTTCCTTCTCTTCCTTCCCTTCCTTCCCTTCCCTTCCTTCCCTTCCTTCCCTTCCTTCCCTTCCTTCTCTTCCTCCCCTTTCTTCCCTTCCCTCCCCTTCCTTCTCTTCCTTCGCTTTCTTCACTTCCTTCCCTTCCTTCCCTTCCTTCTCTTCCTTCCCTTCCTTCCCTTCCTTCTCTTCCTTCTCTTCCCTTCCTTCCCTTCCCTCCCCTTCCTTCTCTTCCTTCCCTTCCTTCTCTTCCTTCCCTTTCTTCCCTTCCTTCCCTTCCTTCCCTTCCTTCTCTTCCTTCCCTTCCTTCCCTTCCTTCCCTTGCTTCCCTTCCTTCTCGTCCTTCCCTTTCTTCCCTTCCCTCCCCCTCCCTTTCCTTTCCTTTCCTTTCCTTTCCTTTCCTTTCCTTCCCTTTCCTTCCCTTCCTTCCCTTCCCTTCCTTCCCTTCCTTCCCTTCCTTCCCTTCCTTCTCTTCCTTCCCTTCCTTCCCTTCCCTTCCTTCCCTTCCTTCCCTTCCTTCTCTTCCTTCCCTTTCTTCCCTTCCCTCCCCTTCCTCCCCTTCCTTCTCTTCCTTCCCTTCCTTCCCTTCCCTTCCTTCCCTTCCCTCCCCTTCCTTCTCTTCCCTTCCTTCTCTTCCTTCCCTTCCTTCCCTTGCTTCCCTTCCTTCTCGTCCTTCCCTTTCTTCCCTTCCCTTCCCTTCCCCTCCCTTTCCTTTCCTTTCCTTTCCTTCCCTTCCTTCTCTTCCTCCCCTTCCTCCCCTTCCGCCCCTTCCTCGTTTTCTCTCAGCGTTTCTTCCTCTCTACATATTAGTGTTCTTTCTTTTTCTTCTTATTCTTTCTCCTTTTTTGTCCCTTACTTGTCTTTTCTCGTCTCCTTCTCTTTCATTTATTTGTGTCTCATCTTCTTTCTTCTGTCTTGGTTGCTTTTCCCGCCTTTCATCTTTTTTCGTTCTTTCAGCTCTCTGCTTCCTTCGTTTCGAGGTGGAGACGTTGAGGGCCCAGCTGGACGCCGTGGTCTTCGAGAGCCAGCGCCTCCACACGCCCGGGCACCCACCACACCAAGAGGCCTCAGAGGAGCTGAAAAGATAGAAGCAAAAAGGCAAAAAGGCAAAAAGTGCAAAGGAAGCAAAAGGAACGAAAGAGTTCAGAAAGTCGGAACGTCACGATTCGCTTCGATTCAATATCCGAATCCGAACGGTTTGGACATGTAGTTCCAGACAGCAGGCAAGCCAAGAGATACTGGGAACGGAAAGGGCAAATGGATAGGATTGCAAAAGAGCGGGGGCAGATTTCTCAGCGAGAGAGCGGGGGGGCAAATTTGCGAGTGTCCAATCCGCGCTAGGCAGATATCTCAAGGTGATGAGCAGGCTGGGATGCTGGGACGGCCTTGAGGCCTTGAGGCCATTTGAGGCCATTTGAGGCCATTTGAAGCCTGGAAGGTGCTTCGGAACAAGAACATGACCAACCAGCTGCGCTCCATGCGCCGCATTCAAAGTCCGCTCCGTCAAGTCGCAGCGTTGAGTGCAGGTACCATCAGGATCTGGAAGCACAACGCAGTCGCTTTAGGCAGGACCTTTTGAGAAGTGTCCAGTGCATCTCGCGAATCTCAGGTCTTTGCTGGCACGATATCTTCCAAATCTGGAGGTCCATGCATTCCCTGCCTCTCATGTGCGATGTTCCTCATGCAGGAAGATGCGTTTTATGACTTGATGAATGTGCGGCTTTTCAATCCGGACGCTTGCCTCGACGAGGAGAGGAGACTTGAAGCGCGAGAGATGGATTGGCTGACCTGCCAGGACACCCAAGCGGCGGTCAAGCGCAAGGCGCGGAACAATCGATGCGTGGATTTCTTTCGGACTTGACAAGAATGGAAGGAAGTGAACATGAGTGACAGGAAATGGCAGGAAACAACCAGAAGTGACAACAAGTGACAATGTAGTGATGAAATGACATGAAGTGACAAGAAGTCACAAGAAGTGACAATGTAGTGACATGAAATGACAAGAAGCCACAAGAAGTGACAATGTACGTAGTGACAAGAAGTGCGCAAGAAGTGCGCAAGAAGTGCGCAAGAAGTGCGCAAGCATACATGACAGGAAGTGACAGGAAATGACCAGAAGTGACAACAAGTGACAATGTAGTGATGAAATGACATGAAGTGACAAGAAGTCACAAGAAGTGACAATGTAGTGACATGAAATGACAAGAAGTCACAAGAAGTGACAATGTAGTGACAAGAAGTGAACAAGAAGTGACAAGAAGCGCAAACGTAGTGACAAGAAGTGCGCAAGAAGTGCGCAAGAAGTGCGCAAGAAGTGCGCAAGCATACATGACAGGAAGTGACAGGAAATGACCAGAAGTGACAACAAGTGACAATGTAGTGATGAAATGACATGAAGTGACAAGAAGTCACAAGAAGTGACAATGTAGTGACATGAAATGACAAGAAGTCACAAGAAGTGACAATGTAGTGACAAGAAGTGAACAAGAAGTGACAAGAAGCGCAAACGTAGTGACAAGAAGTGCGCAAGAAGTGCGCAAGAAGTGCGCAAGAAGTGCGCAAGCATACATGACAGGAAGTGACAGGAAATGACCAGAAGTGACAACAAGTGACAATGTAGTGATGAAATGACATGAAGTGACAAGAAGTCACAAGAAGTGACAATGTAGTTACATGAAATGACAAGAAGTCACAAGAAGTGACAATATGACAAGAAGTGAACAAGAAGTCACAAGAAAAGACAAGAAGTGAACAAGAAGTGACAAGAAGTGCAAACGCAGTGACAAGCAGTGACAAGAAGTGCGCAAGCATACATGACAGGAAGTGACAGGAAATGACCAGAAGTGACAACAAGTGACAATGTAGTGATGAAATGACATGAAGTGACAAGAAGTCACAAGAAGTGACAATGTAGTGACATGAAATGACAAGAAGTCACAAGAAAAGACAAGAAGTGAACAAGAAGTGACAAGAAGTGCAAACGCAGTGACAAGAAGTGACAAGAAGTGCGCAAGAAGTGCGCAAGCAGTGCGCAAGCATACATGACAGGAAGTGACAGGAAATGACCAGAAGTGACAAAAAGTGACACTGTAGTGATGAAATGACATGAACTGACAAGAAGTCACAAGAAGTGACAATGTAGTAGCATGAAATGACAAGAAGTGACAAGAAGTGACAAGAAGTGCAAACGTAGTGACAAGAAGTGACAAGAAGTGACGAGAAGTGACAAGAAGTGCGCAAGCGCAAGAAGTGCGCAAGCATACCTGACAGGAAGTGACAGGAAGTGACAGGAAGTGACAGGAAGTGACAAGAAGTGACAAGAACTAAAGACAAGTGAGGAGAAGTCACAGGAAGTCACAAGAAATGAAAGGAAGTGACAAGAAGTGAAAGGAAGTGACAAGAAGTCGCAACAAGTGACAGGAAGTGACAGGAAGGGACAATGTAGTGATAAGAAGTGACAAGAAGTGAACATAAGCGGCAGGAAGTGAGCAAGTGACTGGAAGTGACAATGTAGTGACAAGAAGTGACTAGAACTGAAAATAAGTGACATGAGAGGAAGAAGTGACAAGACTGGACACAAAGCGACAGGAGAAGAAGAATTGACAAGACGTGAGCATAAGTGACAGGAAGTGAGCATAAGTGACAGGAAACGACAGGAAATGGCAGGAAGTGACAGGAAGTGACAATGTAGGGACAAATAGTGATAATAATTGAAAATAGTGACAGGCAGCGACAATGTAGTGGCAAGAAGTGAAAAGAAGTGAAAAGAAGTGAAAGGAAGTGACAAGAAGTGAAAGGAAGTGACAATGTAGTGACAAGACGTGACGGGAAGTGACAAGAAGTGAAAGGAAGTGACAACAATTGGCAAGAAGTGACAAAAAATGGCAAGAAGTGGCAGGAAGTGACAGGAAGTGACAAGAAGCGAGACAAATTGACAAGAACTGAAAATAAGCGACACGAGAAGAAGAAGTGACAAGAAGTGAACATACGTGACAGGAAGTGACAGGAAGTGACAATGTAGTGACAAGAAGGAAAATGAAGTGACAAGAAGTGAAAGGAAGGGACAGGAAGTGAAAGGAAGTGACAGGAAGTGAATATAAGTGACAGCAAGAGGAAGTGACAAGGCGTGGCAATCAGTGACAGGAAGTGACAATGTAGTGACAAATAGTGGCAAGAACTGAACATATCTGACAGGAAGCGACGATGTAGTGGCAAGAAGTGAAAAGAAGTGAAAGGAAGTGACAAGAAGTGACAATGTAGTGACAAGAAGTGAAAGGAAGTGACAAGAAGTGAAAGGAAGTGACAAAAAGTGGCAAGAAGTGAAAGGAAGTGGCAAGAGGTGAACACAAGTGACAGGAAGTGACAAGAAGTGAAAGGAAGTGACAAAAAGTGGCAAGAAGTGAAAGAACGTGGCAAGAAGTGGCAGGAAGTGACAGGAAATGACAGGAAGTGACAAGCAACAAGGAGTGAGAGGAAATGACAAGAAGTGAAAGAAAGTGACAAGAGGTGAGCACAAGTGGCAGGAAGTGACAAGAAGTGAAAGGAAGTGACAAGAAGTGGCAAGAAGTGGCAGGAAGTGACAGGAGGTGACAGTAAGTGACAAGAAGTGAGACAAATTGACAAGAACTGAAAATCAGCGACACTAGAAGAAGAATTGACAATAGGTGACAAGAAGCGATACGAGAAGAAGAAAAAAAGAAGAAGAAGAAGAAGTGAGAAGAAGTGAACATAAGTGACAGGACGTGACAGGAAGTGTCAATGTAGTGACAAGAAGGGAAATGAAGTGACAAGAAGTGAAAGAAATTGACAAGAGGTGAACACAGGTGACAGGAAGTGACAAGAAGTGAAAGAAAGCGACAAGAAGTGACAGGAAGTAAGCATAAGTGACAAGAAATGACAGGAAGTGACAGGAAGTGAAAGGAAGTGATAAGAAGTGAAAGGAAGTGACAGGAAGTGACAAGAAGTGAAAGGAAGTGACAAGAGGTGAACACAAGTGGTAGGAAGTGACAGGAAGTGAGAAGAAGATACAAGAAGTGACAAGAACTGCAAGTAAGTGACACGAGAAGACAAAGTGACAAGAAGTGACAAGCAGCGACACGAGAAGAAGAACAAGAAGTGACAAGAAGTAAACATATGTTGCAAGAGGTGAAAAGACGGTTCTCAAGATGACAACAAGTGAATAGAAGTGACAATAAACCGCGCACACGACACACCAATGTCACCCCAACTCCAATGCCAAGCTTAGCTGTTGGTGTTCTTTATTCATGCAAATGATCACTGGTCTCAGTTTTTTTTGCACCTGATACCCTTGCTGTCTCCCCGCTTCTCTCCGTTCTTGTGCTTAGGGATGCCCGACCCGGGCCTTGTCACAGCTTGTCTCCCTGCTTGTCTTGTTGCTTCTTGCTTGTGCTTTGTCGGGCGCTTTCTTGCTCCATGCAAGACAAACAAGACACGGCAGTCGGTCGGTTGCCAAGTTCAACCGGTTTTTGCTTCCAATTGCGAGGCAAAGTCTCGACGTGTGCGCAGGCCGAAGCCCTTCAGGCGGACTTCGCTCTGCAGAAGGAGGGCCTCATGGACCAGCCCTCGCCTAACGGGAAGTGCTTCGAGAACGCACATGTTCGAGAACGCCCTAGGATCAAGGCTCGAGAACGCGAGATGCGGGCATTGCAGAAGAAGGCCGAAATATGCTCCAAGAGCGAGAACTTGCTTGACTGGCATGTGGGGTGCGCGTGGGGGTGCGCGTGGGGGTGTGCGTGGGGGTGTGCGTGGGGGTGTGCGTGGGGGTGTGCGTGGGGGTGTGCGTGGGGGTGTGCGTGGGGGTGTGCGTGGGGGTGTGCGTGGGGGTGTGCGTGGGGGTGTGCGTGGGGGTGTGCGTGGGGGTGTGCGTGGGGTGTGGTGTGTGGCGTGTGTGTGGGTGTGTGGTGTGTGTGTGGGGGTGTGGGGGTGTGGTGTGGGGGTGTGGGGGTGTGGGGGGTGTGGGGGTGTGGGGTGTGTGGGGGTGTGGGGTGTGGGGGTGTGGGGTGGGGGGTGTGAGGGTGTGGGGGTGTGGGGGTGTGGGGGTGTGGGGTGTGGGGGTGGGGGGTGTGGGGGTGTGGGGGTGTGGGGGTGTGGTGTGGGGGTGTCTTTCCTTCCCTTGACCTGGACTTTACCCTCTCTCTGATCGCTTGTCGCTTGCTGTTGGTTTCCTTGCAAGCGTGGAGGTGAATCTGCTCAGCCAGAGCACCGCGGAGACGGAGGAGACGGAGGAGACGGAGGAGACGGAGACGGATCACACGGATCTCACGGATCACACCGCTGGAGCCTCGGAGAGTCAAGCGGAACCGAATTGGTCTGAGCTTGCAGTTTGTGAGAAAATCATGAATCGGGATAAACCAGATCCCTGTTGGAAAGAATTGAACTGGTGATTACACAATATGCGTTGCCATGTGCAATCTGCACTCTTTGCTTTCTGACATGAAAAGCAAACTGGGTTGGTGGGTGAGCAATCCATTTCTTAGGGCAATTTGTTGTGCCTCTCAGTTGCAAACAAGCCAACGCGAGCCCAATCAAGCAATCAAGACCCATGGTCTCTCGCAGAGGTCCCCCAAATTCTTTCGAGCGACACTCCATGCGTCTTCTCCTGTGCAGGCAGAGGCAGAGGGCAGGACATTGGGCTCCAAAGACTGCGATTGGATTGTGCCCATGCCGAAGGAGAGAGGCTCTGAATGAGCTTGTCACATTGGAGGATGCTCTGCAGAAGCAGGCGTGTGGCCGTGCTCGGCCGTGCTCGGCTTTGACCTTGGAACTTCACATCAGGCTGCTTGGGTGGGCAACATGGGCCGAGGGACGGAGAAGCCGCGCGCTCGAGTTCGGAGAGCTCCGTTTCGGACAGCTCCGTTTCGGATTTGGACTCGGGCTTTGAAACCGTGCGGCTCGAGGCGGGAGCTCGAGGCGTCGGGGAATGTGTCGGAGTTCATTTGCTTCGAATTCACTTCCGAATTCACTCTCTTTCCATGTTTCATATGTTTGCGAATGAGAGGTGCTGATGCGAGCGTCGCTGGCAAAGCTTGGGGCTGTCAAGTCTTGGCTGGCTGCCTGACTCGATGCTCTTTCTTAGTTGCAGTCGTACTTTTTCCCTTGTCTCCCTAAATTTGTCCGAAAGCCGTTTGCTTGGCCTTTTCGAACTCTGAACTCCTTTTCTCCTGAATCTCCGGCTTCTCTCCTTTGCTTCTCTCAGGCTCCGAGTGCTCCGGGTGCTCCGGGTGCTCCGGTGGCTGACTCGGAGTGGCGGCGCCGGGCGGCCGCGGCGGAGAACTCGGCGGCGTTGGAGGCGGCGAAGCGCGCGGTGGCCGTGGCGGAGCAGCAGCGCCTGGCCCAGGAGCGCGAAGCAAGCGCGAAGCGAGACAGAGGCGAGAAAGAGGCGAGAAAGAGGCGAGACAGAGGCGAGCAAGAGGCGAGAAAGAGGCGAGAAAGAGGCGAGAAAGAGGCGCGAGCAAGAGGCGAGAAAGAGGCGAGACAGAAGCGAGCAAGAGGCGAGCAAGAGGCGAGAAAGAGGCGAGAAAGAGGCGAGAAAGAAGCGAGAAAGAAGCGAGAAAGAGGCGAGAAAGAGGCGAGCAAGAGGCCAGCAAGAGGCGAGACAGAAGCGAGCAAGAGGCGAGCAAGAGGCGAGAAAGAGGCGAGACAGAGTCGAGCAAGAGGCGAGCAAGAGGCGAGAAAGAGGCGAGAAAGAGGCGAGAAAGAGGCGAGAAAGAAGCGAGAAAGAGGCGAGAAAGAGGCGAGAATGAGGCGAGACAGCGAGGCAGAGGCGAGAAAGAGGCGAGCAAGAGGCGAGCAAGAGGCGAGAAAGAGGCAAGAAAGAGGCGAGAAAGAGGCGAGAAAGAGGCGAGACAGAGGCGAGAAACAGGCGAGAAAGAGGCGAGACAGAGGCGAGAAAGATTCGAGAAAGAGGCGAGAAAGAGGCGGGAAAGAGGCGAGAAAGAAGCGAGAAAGAAGCCAGAAAGAGGCGAGAAAGAGGCGAGCAAGAAGCGAGCAAGAGGCGGGCAAGAGGCGAGCAAGAGGCGAGAAAGAGGCGAGACAGACGCGAGACAGAGGCGAGAAAGAGGCGAGAAAGAGGCGAGAAAGAGGCGAGACAGAGGCGAGACAGAGGCGAGAAAGAGGCGAGCAAGAGGCCAGCAAGAGGCGAGACAGAAGCGAGCAAGAGGCGAGCAAGAGGCGAGAAAGAGGCGAGACAGAGGCGAGAAAGAGGCGAGCAAGAGGCGAGAAAGAGGCGAGACAGAAGCGAGCAAGAGGCGAGCAAGAGGCGAGAAAGAGGCGAGACAGAAGAGCAAGAGGCGAGCAAGAGGCGAGAAAGAGGCGAGACAAAGGCGAGAAAGAGGCGAGCAAGAGGCGAGCAAGAGGCGAGAAAGAGGCGAGAAAGAGGCGAGACAGAGGCGAGAAAGAGGCGAGACAGAGGCGAGAAAGAGGCGAGCAAGAGGCGAGAAAGAGGCGAGCAAGCGAGCAAGAGGCGAGACAGAAGCGAGCAAGAGGCGAGAAGGAGGCGAGCAAGATGCGGGAAAGAGGCGAGAAAGAGGCGAACAAGAGGCGAGCAAGAGGCGAGAAAGAGGCGAGAAAGAAGCGAGAAAGAGGCGAGACAGAAGCGAGCAAGAGGCGAGAAAGAGGCGAGAAAGAGGCGGGAAAGAGGCGAGAAAGAAGCGGGAAAGAGGCGAGAAAGAGGCGAGAAAACGGCGAGACAGAGGCGAGAAAGAGGCGAGCAAGAGGCGAGACAGAAGCGAGCAAGAGGCGAGCAAGAGGCGAGAAAGAGGCGAGACAGAAGAGCAAGAAGCGAGCAAGAGGCGAGAAAGAGGCGAGAAAGAGGCGAGCAAGAAGCGAGAAAGAGGCGAGCAAGAGGCGAGAAAGAGGCGAGAAAGAAGCGAGAAAGAGGCGAGAAAGAGGCGAGACAGAGGCGAGAAAGAGGCGAGACAGAGGCGAGAAAGAGGCGAGAAAGAGGCGAGAAAGAGGCGAGACAGAGGCGAGAAAGAGGCGAGACAGAGGCGAGAAAGAGGCGAGAAAGAGGCAGGCGAGACAGAAAGAGGCGAGAAGAGGCGAGCAAGAGGCGAAGGAGCGAAGAGGCGAGACAGAGGCGAGAAAGAGGCGAGAAAGAGGCGAGCAAGAGGCGAGAAAGAGGCGAGAAAGAGGCGAGCAAGAGGCGAGAAAGAGGCGAGAAAGAGGCGAGACAGAGGCGAGCAAGAGGCGAGAAAGAGGCGAGAAAGAGGCGAGAAAGAGGCGAGACAGAGGCGAGAAAGAGGCGAGAAAGAGGCGAGAAAGAGGCGAGAAAGAGGCGAGACAGAAGCGAGAAAGAGGCGAGACAGAGGCGAGAAAGAGGCGAGAAAGAAGCGAGAAAGAGGCGAGAAAGAGGCGAGAAAGAGGCGAGCAAGAGGAAGAGGCGAGACAGAAGCGAGCAAGAGGCGAGCAAGAGGTGAGAAAGAGGCGAGAAACAGGGAGAAAGAGGCGAGAAAGAGGCGAGAAAGAAGCGAGAGGCGAGAAAGAGGCGAGACAGAGGCGAGAAAGAAGCGAGAAGCGAGAAAGAGGCGAGAAAGAGGCGAGAAAGAGGCGAGAAAGCGGCGAGAAAGAGGCGAGACAGAGGCGAGAAAGAAGCGAGAAAGAGGCGAGAAAGAGGCGAGAAAGAGGCGAGAAAGAAGCGAGAAAGAAGCGAGACAGAAGCGAGCAAGAGGCGAGCAAGAGGCGAGAAAGAGGCGAGAAAGAAGCGAGAAAGAGGCGAGAAAGAGGCGAGAAAGAGGCGAGACAGAGGCGAGAAAGAGGCGAGACAGAAGCGAGCAAGAGGCGAGCAAGAGGCGAGACAGAGGCGAGAAAGAGGCGAGAAAGAGCGAGAGCGAGAAAGACGCGAGAAAGAGGCGAAAGAAGCGAGACAGAAGCGAGCAAGAGGCGAGCAAGAGGCGAGAAAGAGGCGAGAAAAAGGCGAGAAAGACGCGAGAAAGAGGCGAGACAGAAGCGAGACAGAAGCGAGCAAGAGGCGAGACAGAGGCGAGAAAGAGGCGAGAAAGAGGCAAGACAGAGGCGAGAAAGAGGCGAGAAAGAGGCGAGAAAGAGGCGAGAAAGATGGATGCGAGACAGAGGCGAGCAAGAGGCGAGAAAGAAGCGAGAAAGAAGCGAGAAAGATGCGAGAAAGGGGGGAGAAAGAGACAGGAAAGAGGCGAGAAAGAGGCGAGAAAGAAGCGAGAAAGAGGCGGGACAGAAGCGAGAAAGAGGCGAGAAAGAAGCGAGAAAGAGGCGAGAAAGAGGCGAGAAAGATGCGAGAAAGAGGCGAGAAAGAGGCGAGAAAAAAGGAGAAAGAGGCGAGAAAGAGGCGAGCAAGATGCGAGAAAGAGGCGAGAAAGAGGCGAGAAAGAGGCGAGAAAGAGGCGAGAAAGAGGCGAGAAAGAAGCGAGACAGAAGCGAGACAGAGGCGAGAAAGAGGCGAGACAGAGGCGAGAAAGAGGCGAGCAAGAGGCGAGAAAGAATCGAGACGCGGGAAAGAAGAGGCGAGAAAGAGGCGAGAAAGAGGCGAGAAAGAAGCGAGAAAGAGGCGAGACAGAAGCGAGCAAGAGGCGAGAAAGAGGCGAGAAAGAGGCGAGAAAGAGGCGAGAAAGAAGCGACAACGAGGCGAGAAAGAGGCGAGAAAGAAGCGAGAAAGAAGCGAGAAAGAAGCGAGACAGAGGCGAGAAAGAAGCGAGAAAGAAGCGAGACAGAAGCGAGCAAGAGGCGAGAAAGAAGCGAGAAAGAGGCGAGAAAGAGGCGAAAAAGAGGCGAGAAAGAGGCGAGAAAGAAGCGAGAAAGAAGCGAGACAGAAGCGAGCAAGAGGCGAGCAAGAGGCGAGAAAGAGGCGAAGAGGCGAGAAAAGAGGCGAGAAAAGAGGCGAGAAAGAGGCGAGAAAGAAGCGAGAAAGAAGCGAGACAGAAGCGAGCAAGAGGCGAGAAAGAGGCGAGAAAGAGGCGAGAAAGAGGCGAGAAAGAAGCGAGAAAGAAGCGAGACAGAAGCGAGCAAGAAGCGCGAAAGAAGCGAGAAAGAGGCGAGAAAGAGGCGAGAAAGAGGCCAGCAAGAGGCGAGAAAGAGGCGAGAAAGAGGCGAGCAAGAAGCGAGAAAGAGGCAAGCAAGAGGCGAGAAAGAGGCGAGAAAGAAGCGAGAAGGCGAGAAAGAGGCGAGACAGAGGCGAGAAAGAGGCGAGCAAGAGGCCAGCAAGAGGCGAGACAGAAGCGAGCAAGAGGCGAGCAAGAGGCGAGAAAGAGGCGAGACAGAGTTGAGCAAGAGGCGAGCAAGAGGCGAGGAAGAGGCGAGAAAGAGGCAAGAAAGAGGCGAGAAAGAAGCGAGAAAGAGGCGAGAAAGAGGCGAGCAAGAGGCGAGAAAGAGGCGAGACAGAGGCGAGAAAGAGGCGAGCAAGAGGCGAGCAAGAAGCGCGAAAGAGGCGAGAAAGAGGCGAGAAAGAGGCGAGAAAGAGGCGAGAAAGAGGCGAGACAGAGGCGAGAAAGAGGCGAGCGAGCAAGAGGCGAGCAGAGGCGAGAAAGAGGCGAGAAAGAGGCGAGAAAGAGGCGAGAAAGAGGCGAGAAAGAGGCGAGAAAGAAGCGAGACAGAAGCGAGAAAGAAGCGAGAAAGAAGCGAGAAAGAAGCGAGAAAGAAGCGAGAAAGAGGCGAGCAAGAGGCGAGAAAGAAACGAGAAAGAGGCGAGAAAGAATCGAGAAAGAGGCGAGACAGAAGCGAGCAAGAGGCGAGAAAGAGGCGCGAGAAAGAAGCGAGAAAGAAGCGAGACAGAAGCGAGAAAGAGGCAAGAAAGAGGCGAGAAAGACGCGAGACAGAAGCGAGAAAGAGGCGAGAAAGAAGCGAGAAAGAGGCGAGAATCGAGAAAGAGGCGAGAAAGAGGCGAGAAAGAGGCGAGAAAGCGGCGAGAAAGAGGCGAGACAGAGGCGAGAAAGAAGCGAGAAAGAGGCGAGAAAGACGCGAGAAAGAAGCGAGAAAGAGGCGAGAAAGAAGCGAGAAAGAAGCGAGACAGAAGCGAGCAAGAGGCGAGCAAGAGGCGAGAAAGAGGCGAGACAGAAGCGAGAAAGAGGCGAGAAAGAGGCGAGAAAGAGGCGAGACAGAGGCGAGAAAGAGGCGAGACAGAAGCGAGCAAGAGGCGAGCAAGAGGCGAGAAAGAGGCGAGAAAGAGGCGAGACAGAGGCGAGCAAGGCGCGAGACAGAGGCGAGAAAGAGGCGAGAAAGAGGCGAGACAGAGGCGAGAAAGAGGCGAGACAGAGGCGAGACAGAGGCGAGCAAGAGGCGAGAAAGACGCGAGAAAGACGCGAGAAAGAGGCGAGCAAGAGGAAGAGGCGAGACAGAAGCGAGCAAGAGGCGAGCAAGAGGCGAGAAGGAGGCGAGAAACAGGGAGAAAGAGGCGAGAAAGAGGCGAGAAAGAAGCGAGAAAGAGGCAAGAAAGAGGCGAGAAAGAGGCGAGAAAGAAGCGAGAAAGAGGCGAGAATCGAGAAAGAGGCGAGAAAGAGGCGAGAAAGAGGCGAGAAAGCGGCGAGAAAGAGGCGAGACAGAGGCGAGAAAGAAGCGAGAAAGAGGCGAGAAAGAGGCGAGAAAGAGGCGAGAAAGAGGCGAGAAAGAAGCGAGAAAGAAGAAAGAGGCGAGACAGAAGAGAGAAAGAGGCGAGAAAGAGGCGAGAAAGAGGCGAGAAAGAGGCGGGAAAACAGCGAGAGGCGAGAAAGAGGCGAGAAAGAAGCGAGAAAGAAGCGAGACAGAGAGCAAGAGGCGAGAAAGAGGCGAGAAAGAGGCG